AACACATAGAATGCTCTCTTCTTGATTCTATCGAAAACTAAACTGGCAGTACCTTGAATAAAATCAAGAGTGGTTTGATCCTCAACATTCTTTTGAATGGTTGCCTTTTCCTTGTAGAACATGTTCAAAGTCTTGGCCAACTTGTCCATTCTATCAGAACGTTCAGATTCCTTATAATAAAGAATGATATTATTGGCGTGTGAAGAAATGTTGTGAGTTGGGAAGTGAGCAGTAGAGTCACCTGGAATATCTGGTCTTTGAGTAAAGATTACACAATTGACATCATGTTGAGTAAGTTCCTTGTGAATTTCGGAGAGAATATGTCTGTGTTGTTCCTTAATTCTACTGATATCAGTATTGGAAATAGCTTCATGCTTGGCAGCTGACAATGACTTGCTATTAGTAGCATGAACAGTGTGATAACTTGGAACAACAAGTAAAACGTTCTTTGATGATTGAGAGTCAAATTCCTTACATGGGTGCATGTATGGTTGTTCGGCAACAGTTGTTGGAACATTTCTGAATTCATTGACTTCAATCTTCTTTCTTTGAAGAACTTGAGATGAACAATGGAGAGAACCATACATGGTAGTCATACCAGAGTAATCAATACGGTCAATTTCACCATCAAAGTTTGGATCTTGCAACATCTTTCTACTGGTTGATTCATCCATAGTGATGTTGATACCTCCACCAATGTTCAAAAAGTTGATACCATACATTTCTTGTTGCTTTTCAGTAACTGAGATAATATGATAACCTTCTTCCTTAATATATTTGGAAAATTCAACATTGAAACGAGTCACTTCATACTTTCCTTGTTCATTCTTGGTATATTCAGTAACCAAACGTCTGAGTGGAGAGTTTTCTCCCATAACAGTTTCAAGCATGACACAACAATTGTGTGAACAAATGTTAAAGAAGGTATCCAAGTGCATTCTTTGTTGATCACAATCAAAGTAATCATGAACGACAGCAACACGTCTAGTTCCAAACCAATCATTATCAAGCATTTGACGAATGGCATCTGGATTAGTTCTCAAACCTTCACCAATATAACAGATATCAGCACCACCAACCAAAAAGTCACCTCCTTCAATAATACCTGGCTCTTTAATTTCTCCCAAAATTTCATATCCCAACTTTTCAAAACAGAATTTCAAAATTTTAGTTTCTTGATGTCTTTGCAAACTTCCCATACGACAAATAACAAGACCTCTATTGGTGACAATTTGTTGGTCCCGAGTAAAGGTCAAGTTAAGAAGAGGTCTCATACCTAATCTTTCCAATCTCATTGGAGTATTTGTTGATGAAGGAACCAATCTAACAGTTGGACCCAACAAGATGATATCAATTAAATCATTAACACCCATTGTTGATAAACATTCTCTCTTATAATCATCAGTTAATAAATACTTTTGAATTGATGTTAAATCATTAAAATCTGTTGTTGCTTCATCATCACCATCATCACAAACATATTTCATACACTTTAAAGCTAATTCTTCCAATTCAACTCTGCATTTCAAAGAATGCTCACAATTCATTGCCAAAATATCTCTAACATCCATAACTTTAACTCCGTGTCTTCTCAGGGCTTCTTTAAAACCTTGATGATTTTTTCTAGCTAATTGCAAATTAACTGGTTTTTCAAACAATGAACCGGAAGCATGAAGTGATCCTAACAAGGCTTCTAATCCTGGTTCATGTAAAAGAACAACTTCGGCTTTATCATTTTCATGGCATTGGCCTGGTTTTAAATGTGGAATGTGTTTCATTTCTCTTTGTTAACAATTTAAATAATTATATATTAATTTCTTCCTTTGTTACTTGTTGTGTTCGGCGGCCAAAGAATTTGATAATTGAAAATTTGTGATGTTTCAAAATTGTTGATTTTTTTGCAAGCCGTTGAGCGCTTGTGGGCACTGCTTGAAATGGTGATGGAGAAGATGATTCTTGGATATCCTTTGGTTCATGATAACGATGAGGTGTAAGAGGAGAATGCATGTATCAAACATCCTTTGTTTCAGTTTGTAACGGATGAAGAGTTAAACAGATAATATGGTTTATGTTCAGATATACAATTTTGAGGTGATAAATGTGAAGCGTCGATGGTTTAGTGGTAGAATACGGCGTTGCCATCGCCGTGACCCGGGTTCAATTCCCGGTCGACGCAGAAAATATATTTTAGTTTCTTCATCTTTTTATGATAAATTGCTATTTTTTTATAGTAGATAGAATACAACTATGTGTAGATACGTCTCAAATTTCAGCAAGTAATGACAAGTATTTCTTTAGAAAATAACCTCTGATTGAGACCTATTTTTTACCATATTTTTTTCACTTTTCATTTTTTTTATTTGAAAAATATGGATTCATAATTTTATGTTACGATTCTATTCTTATCCATTGTTTTATTACAAAAATAAGTATCATATTTAGAGATTTGCATAGAATTCATGATATTCTAATGCCATGTTATCATAATCATAATCAAATTGTTGTCCAATGAGTTGTGGCAAATCTTCTCTCTCCTTCAAATATTTAGAAAACACTTGGACGAATGGTTTGATATTTCCATCTGGATTGTGCACTTTCTTTGCATTGTGATCATCGATAATTGCAAAGAAAACTCTATCAAAATGACCTTTGAATTCAGTGCTTTCAATCTTTTCCTTGAAAACTTGAGCGATAGCTGTTGGAGAATTTCTAAAAGCTCCACAACCCAAAGCTGAAAGAACAAGATTTCTCACCTTATGTTGAACTGCAATTTTCAATATTGCCTCAATGGATCCAATATTTCTATTATCGATACTTCCATCATTGTATGCAGAATTAGGAACTGCTGCTGCGGTGATAACATCAATTAATCTTGGAGCTGAGAGGAGTGGATAACCCTTGGCCTCACAACCTCTAAAAACAGTTACATCTGGGCTAAAGACACCACTCTCATAACCAATTGGATAGGACCATGTTCTTTTCTTATCGATTCTATCAACTGGATTATCCAAACATTGATACAAGTTTGATCTTCTATGTAAGTTTTCTTCTTGAGCTCTTTTAAAGGTTAAATTAAATTAATTGAAATAGTAGTTACTAACTTACCCGCACCCAGTCTTGTATCCTCCTCCTGGTTGCTCGGGATTGGCCATATTCAAAACCGCAACTCGTTCCTTTCCTAATTGACCTTCCTTCATCAATAAATCTTGAACATGGAATGCAATATCAAGGCAATCTCCGTTAAAAACCAAAACTTGAGTATCCTTCTCTGGATTTCCAACCTTATCACTCACATCCAATAATTCATTTCTATAATATTTACTATTGATGGAAGCATTCACTAATACATGCTCTTTCAATTCAACATTCTTCTTCTTAACCTCACCTTCCACCTTAATTGGCCTGAAATTATACTTTCTAGTACGACATATATGAGTTGTTTGATGTTGAATAAGAATTCTCAAATTTCTCAACTTGGTAAAATTCTCTTCCTCTAAACAACTCTTAAATTGTGCAACGAATTGATTTGGATCATACAAATATTTACAATATTCCAAAGAATCATAACTTTTAAAAAAGATCCCACTCTCTTCATAGAATGACGGTGGACACGATTGATTTGATTTTTCCTCATCCTCTGGCGTATTATTTAATTGCAATGAATCTGATGATGGCAGTGGATTGCCAGTGATGAGAGCATAAATGTTGTTGAGCATTTTTTTTAATTGAACTTATTCATTAACGAACTATGAACCTGTTTCTAACCAATTTTTAACTAGTGTCTCTTAAAAGATTTTAATAGATTATTCTTCTTTTTATTAATTAAGGCTACTCGAATGGAATACGAACCTTTAAATTCAAACCTCTACCATCTAACTCTAAATTAAGGCTCTCGATGTATTAAGGATAAAAACAGTGTAAGCAGCGATAGATCAGTTGGTTAGATCGTAAGCCTAACACGCTTAAGGTCGCGGGTTCAAGCCCCGCTCGCTGTAACCTTTTGGGATTCTTACCTTGGAAAAATATTTTCTGTTATTCTATCATAACTTTATTCATCATGAAAATTATTAAGCGTTTTAAAGCGTTTTTCTAATAATGTTTCAACAATACAAAATTATCTCCAATCCATCCAACGTTATCTCTTACAGAACAGCACCATTACACTTTGCATTACAATAAAATTATGTAAGAGATGAAGTAGTATTTGCTGGAACAACTATTCTCAAATTTTGAGGTAACATTGAAACATCAACTCCAATAGCTTCCAATCTTGAAAGAACGTCATGAGCTGATTCACCATAAATCTCAGCAACACAATGATAACCTGTATAGGCAGCATCCATCAAAGACATGACATCATCTCTCGTGCTGATTGTACCAAACACTAATAAGTGAGCTCCATGTCTCAATAATGCATTCAAAATGGCTCTTCTTGATAATGTTGGATGAGTTGATAATTTGTAAACACCATCTGTTGAAACATTGACACCACCTTGTGTTGCAATAGAGTAAACCAATGCAGATCTTTCCACAGCAGCTTGACACAATCTTTCAATAAAAGCTCTTCTCAAATCTGCTCTCGTAGAAGCAACCAATAAAACTCCAGCTTGCATTGAAGTTGAATCGGCAGATTCCGAAGCAGAATGAGGAGAAATATAAGTAACTTGTGCTTGTTTGATTTGGCCAGAAACTAGAGGTGAAAATTGCAATAATACATCAGCACCCGATGTTTTGGAACGTGTTGAAGCATCTGCTAATTGATTCAATGTTTGATTGTCTATTGTTGGTGTTTGTTGGATGTTGTTATCATTAATCAAATTCTTTCTTTTTGATGATGAAGATTTTGAAAGTAAATTTTGAAGGAGAGTATTATCGGATTGATTTGGTGTTGAATTATTAAATTGTTTGTTTTCCTTCTTGATTATTTTGTGATGATTTACATTAACATCTTCCACTATTTTGTTATTATTATTGTTGGAAAAGTATTGCACAACATTGGTTGAATGTCTAACAAAAGGAGAAGCAACCAACTGTAAATGGGAGAGAAGGGATGTTAATCTTCTTTCTGTTGTTGATGAAATTTTGGGGGAGGTGAAGAAGATTCTATTGGTTGTTGTTGATTTTGGAATTCATTAGAACCAAACAATTTACCAGCATGTAACATTTTTATCTAATAATACCATCTTGTTCAATAACGCCATTAAGAGCTTGAAGGAGAAGGTGCACATTGGAATTGTCTCACTATTGCATCTCATCATACTAAACTCTGAATTCTCTTCTTCATAAGGAAGAATTTGAGAAAGACAACAATTTGAGAAGAAATAGCCTAGCTTGTGTATGATTCGTTTCCCGCCAACTACTTGTCAATCCAATTAATTGTAATTTCGCTCAAGGTGTTAATACAAATGGTCTTGTGTTTCCCTTTAAACGCCAAGCTTGATGGGCAATGTTCTTGCTTGGTAACCTGTGCCATCAAATCATAGCGTTGTGGTTGTTCTCTACAGTTTTATTTACCGCTTGAATTTTGCACTGTGATGAGATGAAGAACAAGGGAAGAAGACATTCATTTCGAAAAAAACTCGAACTCATCACGGATTTTTGTGTCCACGAACAAAGTTGTGGAAGGCCTTCTAATAGTCAACAATAATTATATTGAACATATAATATTCAACAATATCAATTGGATTGATTATCAATTTTACTCTCACAAAACGGAACATTAGAGATTTAATTGGAAGATATCTATTGCACAAAATTGGCTCTAGAAACAAACACCGAATCATCATCAATTAAACTCTATTCGGATTCTCTTCAAAGATCCATTCTTCAAGAAATTGAACCACTGTTCATCACTTCAATCTACAAGAGAAGTTTTAATAATAGTATACTCGATTTCTTTTCGATATCTGGGCTCTCATCTGGCAAATATTGGATTTTATCAAACTGGAAAAACTATCATCTTGTTCTGTTGTGGTACATTACACAACAATATCAACCAAACAATCAACTCAGCGAAAGCAGAGTTTATCAACTGTGCTATCAAACAATTTTTATATAACAACAACTATTAACCATGTCGAAAGAAATTAAAACTGATCCCAAAGGAAGGTATTCGAAGAAGGAATTATTAGGTTCCGGAGCCTTCAAGACAGTGTAAGTATAATATTATTGTAATAATATATTTAATGTTTTCAATAATCATCATCACCAACACTAAACAGCTACAGGGCGTATGATACCGAAGAGGGTATTGAAGTCGCTTGGAATCAAATCAAACTTGCTGGTGTTGCACCAAACCAAAAGAAAAAGATTATGCAGGAAATTAGTATACTTGGACAATTAAAACATGCATCAATAATTAATATATATGATTCGTGGGAAACTGAAGACGATTATTTAATATTTATTACAGAATTAATGAGTTCTGGTACCTTAAAAGAGTAAGTGATTTAGCTCTTTTTTAAATTTTAACAAATTTCCATCTAGTTTCATAAGAAATTCAAAGAAAGTAAGATTGAGAAATATTAAAAAGTGGTGTAAACAAGTGTTAGAAGGTCTGAGTTACCTTCACGCCCACTCGATCATTCACAGAGACTTGAAATGTGATAATATTTTCATGAATGGCAGTAGAGGAGAAGTTAAAATTGGAGACTTGGGTCTTTCAGTAAGCATGAAAGATAAAAAGTTTGCAACTTCAGTGAATGGTACACCAGAATTTATGGCTCCAGAATTTTATGAGGAACGTTATAACGAGAAGGTTGATATTTATGCATTTGGCCTTTGTGTTTTGGAAATGGTCACTGGTGAATATCCTTATAGTGAATGTAACAGTATTGCCCAAGTATATAGACGAGTAACATCTGGTGTTAAACCAGAAGGTATAGAAAGAGTTAAAGATCCCGACGTGAAAGAATTTATTAATTTATGCATTTGTCATAAGGATATACGTCCAAGTGCAGCCGAATTGATGAATCATAGATTTATGACTGATATTACAAATAATGATACAATCTTTTATTTTGGCATCGAGGAAGAGGATAATGAAGTATCTTCATCTGATGAAGAAGAAGAACGAGAAGATGTCAGAGTTGTTCTTGGAAATGATCCTACTAATGACAAATATTCTGTTAATACAAAGCTATATATTAAGGTGGACGGAAACAAAAAATATAAGGAAATCAAATTTGCTTTCAACTTGAAGAAAGACACCCCAATAGAAGTTGCTCGAGAAATGGTGAATGAACTTTCACTCACAGAATCATTCGTTGACTCGATATCAAAAGCACTATCTGATTGTCTAACAAAGGCCAAGCTCGATTTCTTAACAACTAAGGGTAGTGCTGAGAGTGATAGTTCTTCTTCAAACACAGAACCAACTACTTCAGTTAAATCCATTTCTGAAATTACAAAAGAGAAATCTTTAGAAATTGTAGAAACTCCTGTAATTATTGAACCACCAAAAAGGTCAACCACTCCAACCAAAAGGGATCAACCTATCGATTCACCAACAAAGGGTACACCAGTGAGAGAAGCTGAAATTATTAACCTTTCAAGTCCAGTTGTTCCACAACCAATTTCACCTTTTAATGGTCCAGTTATTAAGGAAATAACTCCATTTGTTGATAAGAAGCTTCCTCCTCTTTCCACTCCAAAGACAAATGAATTAACTCTCAAACCAGTAGTGACACCTCAGCAAGCTAATAACACACCAAAAACAAATGGTGCAACACCTGTCAATAATCAGCAACAAATCAAACAAACACCAAATAATCCTCCAAAACCAATCAACACTACACCACAGAATGGTGTTGGAGTAGCTACTACTGACCAGAATAAGAGTGCCACCAATAATAATACTCAAGCTAACATTTCCTCTCCAACAACTTCAACATCAAATACTTCTCCATCCCCAAAAACAACAACACCTACCCTCCTCTCAAACAATTTTGACTCTACCAAGACAGAAAAACCCCTCACTGTGGAAACAAAAAAGGTTGGTGAAGCTGTTAAAAAGGAGTCACCTGAACAGAAATCCAACTCTCCTCTTTTAAGAAATCAATCCAGCCCTGCCCTTAACAATACGAATGTTGTAACTACAAATGTAACACAACCTAACAAGTCAACACGAACAAGTCCAACCAATGCAAGATCAAATGTTGCGGTAAAGTCTGATGATTTTGAAGCACAATGGGAGCAATTATTACAAAAACAGTATGAAGAAATGGAACTTTTGAAGGCAAAACAAAGAAAGGAGCAAATGGAGCTGATGAAAAAATTCAACGTTCCTCTCGAAACCAAAATGACACCATTCCAATTTGATCCAGTCTCAAATAATAGTAATTTGAAGATTGTAAATCCTTACCAAATGTCAAATCTCAGTGCCAGACTAATTAATGATATGGAAAACAAGCTCACTGAGGTTAAATTACCATCAGAGGGTTCCTCATTAATTACTGCCACAACTATTGTAAATAAGTTGAGACAATCTTCAAACAATTCCTTTAAAATTATTGGTACATCAATTCAAACTACTACCAGCTCAATTAGTGATGACAGAATCAAAACAACTCCAACAACACCAAATCAGATTGGAGTTTCATCAAATGCATCACCAACAGCTCCAGTCAAGCCAGTTGCCAAGCCAGCTGGTCAGTTGAATGTCAATGTGAACGTGGTAGTTAAACCAACTGACAATAATGAATTAACTTCACTCATCAGTAAGAATTTAGAAAACCTCAGTATGGATAAGCCACAATCAATATTTTCTCAAGTTCACCAGCATCAACTCATTGTTAGCACTACCCAACAACCTACTAACAATGGTTCTGTAAAACCTGATCCAAAAAGCTTGACTTCTCCAGCCAAAGTGATACAAGATCCAAAAGGTGTATCTGGTGGTAGCTTATCCAATTTCAGCATGGTTCCACAACTTCAACCTGTGCCAATTAGAAAGCCAGTAAACCAAGCTCAGCAACCTCAATATACTCCAACATCCGAAAGAATTAATAGAAGCTTCAGTGACCCATTTGTGGATTCATTATCGAATGGCAATATTTTCAATCCATCATCTACCTTATCATAAATTTTATTAAGAAAGAAAAAAAGTCCTTTTATGTACTACTGTTGTCAATCGTTGCATGACCACCAAATAATTAAAAAAATGTCAGAGCAACAGTATGCTGAAAAGCTTGAACTTAAATCCGATAAATTTTCATGTCTATTGGATGATGGTAAACATTATGCAACTCTATCATTTGAAAAGAAAAAGTATCATCAACGTGATCACCATGAAATTTCCGAAGTGACTCCAACTCATATCTATGAATTCTATCACATTGAAGTACCACAAGCATACAGAGGAAAAGGAATTGCCATGCCTTTTGCGAAAGCATGTTTCGATTATGCTCTCCAACACAATTGGAAAGTAAAGGTAACATGCACCTATCTGAGAGAAAAGTTTCTTGGATTGCACAGTGGCCATTACAAGAGTATTCTTGTGGAATAGTTTTGTTTGGAAATTTACTAAAATTGTACACTAGAAACACGAGATACCTTCTTGGAGAGAGAGAATATTAAAAAATGTTTTCAATTATAAGCACACTCGTATCCAAGTTTTTCTCAAAGATTATCATGCCCAAAGTTGAGGATAAATTGGCCAAGAAACTTGCCTCCGATAAGAATGTCCAAAAGATAGTACAAGTGACTGAGAAACAGGTGGAGAAGATTGTCGATTCGGCACCAGACAATGTTGGAAAGGCCAAAGTTTATGGAAAGCATTTCTATAGAGAAGTAAAGGAAATTGTTCGAAAGGTTGTTAAACTCAAATAATTTTCATTCACAACATGTATATCAATTTTCCCTCATTTGTTCTGAAGTTTGATTTTTATGAGAATTGAAGTGTTCCCTCACAACAACTACTCTACCTCATTCAATATTCCATCACAGCGTGTGTGCTCTATATAAATCGGTTACTACTACCAACTCAGTGAAAAAAAGCAAATTTGAAAAAATGGAAGAAACAACTCTCCTCCTTAATAAACCAACCTCCTCATCATCATCTTCGTTATTTAAATACTTTAGAAACTCTAAAGGGCCATGTAAGGATTATGCCTCTATGAATGTTGAGAGGGAATATTCTCAACAAGATGAAATGGTCATTAATCAGATGCTTAATGCACTGCTCATTCGAATTGAATGTCCAGAGAATGTAACAACTTCGGAGAGACTCTCTCGTATTGTCTTTTCAAACACCAAGGAGGGTTCCAACAACGCTCACAATAATAGCTGGATTATTCATGCCTATTTACCAGCTATTTATTCAAGAAATGATCTATGCTCAGATATTAAAATTGTGCTGAAGAGAAAGGAGAAGGTGAAATGTGTTCTGATGGATTTGAAACACACCTTAATGGATAATTCTGATAATCAACAGGGGTATATTTGTTTCAGAACATCCTATTTGAACATGTACAAGACTGGAACTGATCCATGTTGGGTCACTGCCACATGTGGAAATGTAGCTAGGACAAAGGTTCAGCTTAATACATTTGAAAGATCAATCCCTTCCTCAATAAGATCATGTCCATCTTGTTGGGATGTTTTATTTGAGATTTCCCACATCATTCATCAAAATATTGAAAAAGAAGACAGAGAGGAACGATTCGAGTTAGCTAAATTGTTAAATTACTGGGCTACCATAATTGCTGTGCAAAACAATGAAAGTAAGAAGAATAAGAACAACTTTTTCATGATGGATGGTGAATTCCCAAAGAGTATTACCAAGTTGGACGAATTGAGAAATTCTCCAATGTTTCTACTAATGTTCCTCTTGTTTAATTGTGAAAATCATCCAGAATATAACATTGGTCAATCTGGAATGGACCGTTCCAGAGAGCTTCAACAAGTTCTTGGTGGTATTGATCTCCAACTTCAAGGTCATGAGGAAAAGCAACCAAGAGCCAATTCCCTTGTGTCGTTGATGGAACGAGCTTCACTATTGCTACGTCTTAAAGATGTGATTGAAAAGAAAAGTTTTCTGTCCAGCGAACTAGGAGGCCAATTTTCACATCTCCTCTGCCTTGCAAACAGTTCAAATCAAAAACTGATTCTGTCCTTGCACTTTAAATTACAGTATGATTTACATTCTAGTGATTGTCCCAATAAGGTGTATTGAAAATCCTAAAACGTTTGCTAACTTGACCAACTACAGAATTTTCCTTAACCAGAATCACTTTTGGTGTTGCAATATTTCTGGAATGGTGGTATTAAAGCTTATTCTGGATGACAGACCCACGCGTCTTAATAAAGATGTACCTCTTTATAAAAAATGTGTGAATTTCGTCCATTGAAAAAAGTCAAACTTTCCCTACAGGAAGATGATGAACATCAATGTGATTTTGAGTCTTTTTGTGAGGTGGGAGGAGATACACACATGATTTGTGCATTAACCACTCTTATACTTGATGGACCGTTGAAAAATCATCCAATGCAGGACTTTCTAGTGAAGTCATTAAGGCAAACTCGAGTAGTATACTTTCTGGAGCAAGAGCTATATCATCATGATGAGATATTTCCATGCAATTCCACACCATACTCTGTTGCTGTTCACAATAAGAAACAACTGCTGCTAGCTACTTTTTCGAAATACATGATAGTGTTCGACTTGGAGTCTCAACTGCCCAAGTATCGACTGAACTTTCCATTCATCACAAGGCAGGTAATTCTTGTTGAAGGAGATAATGATCAGGATTTTCTCATCTGCACACGTCTTGATAATTCAATTACCAAGATTAATTCTCACAAAACTTTGAACATGCATGGACAAGCAACATTTGCAGTGATAGAACTGTCTATAGAAAATCAACGGATGAGTTGTTGATATGTGTAAAAAACGAACTGTTGGTAAGTTTTTACAATTTTTGAGAATTGATCTTATTCACAATTTCATCTATTAAGGCAATAAAAAGCTCCGATGGATCTCAAAGCAATAGGTGGAATATTAACACGAGTAGTTGGACCTCCATGTGTTTGGACGATGCGGATAATTTGAAAATTATAACCACATGTGAAAGTTTGATAATTTATTTTGCACCAGATTTTAGTAGGAATCGAGTTGTATCTATTGAGACAGACATATTTGGAAAATTTCGACATTTGAATTTACATGGAGATTGTTCATATGGAACAATCATGAACGATACTGGTGATTTATTGGTTGTGGATAAACGATATTGCAATATTATTACATCAACGTACAATCCAACCTTACATTCAGATAGTTCTAGTGGAATAATGTATGAATATCATCTTGACAGTTTTCATCGGGTGGAGTTTCGTATGAAACGACATATTGTACATGCACCACTTGATCCAAATCTTGTTGAAATCATTAAATCCAATTTTGGAATCTTACCACAATCTAACTCTGCAAGTGAAATTGCTCATTCATCAATATCTTTACGAGAATGGAATTATCAACCAGAGAACTAGAGAGATTGATTCCAACATTCTGATAAAAGCTTACAGAACTGTTGCTAACACCAACAATGAATTCATTTCTGATATTTTCACATTCCTCAAGGAATATAAGACCAAATCTCAATTACTGGAAATTGATAGAGCATTATTCAGAGTTGAGGATTTACTAGCACTTGCGTGTCGATTTGAATTGAATCAATTTTTCAGAAAGATTATTCTAATGCCAGAAGAGGAAGATGAATAAAATTCAAATAGATATTTTCCAAATAGAACAAGAAGAGGAAAGGAATCGGAGAACCGAATTCTCACACATGTTGATATGCCATGAAGATATTTTGATAAATATTACCTCTCGAGTTCAAAATTGTCTTTGATATTATTACAAGATCTTTTAAAACTCATTTCAACATACATTCACTTTCTTTTTCATAGCATTGTAATCAATTATATTTCAATTCAAATATTAAATAATTTAATAAATATTATTAAAAAAACGATTCTGATGACTACCAATTATGGTGACCATTCCGTTTATGTTTGAGGTTAATATTTGTAGTTTTTTCGCTCTCTGATTCTCTAGAACGTTCTTCTTTAGCCAAAAAAATTAGAGAAAGCGTTTGTTCGCTCGAAATCAATCATCAACACACCAAGAATAACATTGCTGAGTACAACACTACTTTTTGTACCTGCTTGTTTTATAAAACCCAACCGACACACGATATATACACTCTCTTATTTTTCCTTCTCCCCTAACTATTTTAATTCTCTCTTTTTCGAAAAAGCTCGAATCATAATACAAAATGAGTGATAATCATAATACTACTTCTACAGTAACACAACCAACATCACCGATGCGTGATGATACATCCGAGTCTTCCAGTCATACATCCAATTCTAATGCCAATGTTGAAATTGCACAACCAACTGTGTTTGCCAGACAAATTCCTCACAATATGTCCTTCTCTGATTTAATGGCTGAGGAAATGGCCTTGTCCAATCAAACCAGTGTTTGTGTTGATACATTGTCGGAAACTAAACAGAAATTTGATTACAAGAACCTTCGTCCAAGCCACTTTAAAAAGATTAGACTTTTAGGTCGTGGAGATGGTATGTTTTAAAATTTATTATATAGTAGTAACTTCTTACACAATCGGAAATAGTTGGTAAAGTTTATTTGGTTAGACACAAGGAAACTGGTAGATATTTCGCCATGAAGGTTTTAAAGAAGGAAGAAATGATTCAAAGAAATAAGGTTAAAAGAGTTTTAACCGAACGTGAAATTCTTGCAACAACAGATCACCCTTTCATTGTCACTCTCTATAGCTCTTTCCAATCAAAGGATAAACTTTATTTCATCATGGAATATTGTAGTGGAGGAGAGTTCTTCCGTATGCTTCAAAAACAACCAGGAAAATGTCTTCCAGAATCATCAGTTAGATTCTATGCTGCTGAAGTTCTTCTTGCTTTGGAATATTTGCACTTTATGGGCTTTATCTATCGTGATTTGAAACCAGGTATGTTTTTATCATGTTCATGATGGAATATTCATTATTATTAATACTAATATTAACGAAAATTAGAAAATATTTTACTTCACCAAAGTGGACATGTCAGACTTACAGATTTTGATCTTTCTAAACAAACTGTGCAAACAGTCACTCCAAAAATTGTTAAAGGATTTTTCTCATCAGATAAGAAGAGTAAATTGGATACAAAACAAATTCAACAATTTAACAGCTTTGTCGGAACTGCTGAATACCTCAGTCCTGAAATTATTGCTGGTTGTGGACATACTTCAACTGTCGATTGGTGGACTTTTGGTATTCTGATTTATGAAATGCTTTTTGGTACTACTCCATTCAAGGGATCTTCACAAAAAGATACTTTTAATAGTATTCTTCACAAAAAATTGGATTTCCCCAAAGACAAACCTGTCTCAAAAGCTTGTAAGGAACTTATCAAGAAGCTTTTAGTATCTGATCAAGATAAGAGATTGGGTCACAAGAATGGTGCTTCTGATATTAAGGTACATCCATTCTTCAAGGGTATCAATTGGGCTTTAATTAGAAATGAACATCCACCAATTGTTCTTCAAGTTTCTGATCCAGAAGATACCTCCAATTTCAGACCACTTGTCGATAGTGACAATGAAGAAGAGGATGAAAATACCGTCGATCAAGAAGACAATTCTGATAGCAACCCATTCAAAAACTTTGCCTACACTTCTCAAAAGAAATTATCATATGGTGATGATAAGATCGCTACTAGTAGTACTGCAGATAAGGGTATTGCTCTTCAACATTAAAAATAGTTTTCTTTTTTCTTGTAACTGACCTGTCTTTTTGAACATTAAGTATGAAAAAAGAACTACAATAACATCAAAGAAGCAAGATTTGCACTGACATTTGCTTCTCCATCAACAATAGTCTTAGTAACGGTAAAAGAGAAAAACACTTCGCGCCATTTCAAATCAGAAAAAACAGTTTAAAAAAAATTAAGGTAGTTCGTTACACTACATTTTCTCAAATTCAATATCCATCATCATCCGAATATTGAATATTTGAAAATGGGTCTCTGGAATATGATTAAAAGTGAGTAGTAGTAATCATCATCATAAAATATATTTAAACACATCATCATGAATAGGGAATAAGAAAAAGAAGGAGGACAAGCTCGATCAAATATCTGAACCAAATGTGAGTGCTATTGATGCAACCTCCGAGACAATTTGTGGGAATGTTGTTCCAACCTCTTCAAATGAGCCAGAAAAGAAGAGCAATTTCATCCAAATGGTTCCTAAATCCTCTAATAGAGCATATAGCTCTTACAAAACTAGTCAATTTAATAAGAGAAACGAATTTGGTGACGATTTATCGTTTCCAAGAGCTCAGTCAAAAAAGGGGAATTTGCAAGTTTTTGCTGATAATATAATGACAGCAGAAACATTGGATTGTCCAGTGTCGAGTCCAGAAACTTCTAAGTTACAACCTAAAACAGAAATCACAAACAATGAAAGTTCTTCCATTGTACATAAACTCAATCAAATTAAAATAGCAGACAACTCTGAAAGTGAGGAAGAAACACCATTCTATACTGCAACAAGCAATGTGTACAAAATTCCAAAAGCATCCTCTAAAGAGATAAAAACAGCAGATGTTACAACAACACCATCTGAGGATTCAGATGATGAATTCCCTTCTTTAAATCAATCAATGAGTATCAACAATGAATCAATTCAAAGACCACCATCTCCAAAGCCAGTTGACATTACCACTGACAGAGAAAGAATTGGAAGTTTCCAAACTGATGAGGAATCTTTTGCAAACTCCACAATGCCAGTAGTAATACCACCGAGCAGCATCTCTTCTCAAAAACTTGAGGATTCATTTATTCAGGAAGAATCTAAAATTGAGGATAACCCAATGAAACAGGATAATTTTTCTTCTCCTGAGGTATTTAAAAAAGCAATTAATGAAACAGAAATTATTAACATGGAAAATGAAACCAAGGATGAAATTCTAATTGAAAATACTAACAACATTCAACAAACTCAATATGATCCAGAAGAACCAACATATTTTGATCTCAACCAGTCTAATCTCGACATAGAGGTTACAGGAGAAGAACACTATGAAGAAGAAATTATTGAGGAACCAAAGTATCAAACTAAGAATGACAACTTTGATCAGTATTATCTTGATGATGAAGATCCTGAATTATCAAGCGATGACGAAATAACAGAAGCACAAAATTATCAAGAAGAGATTCAAGAACAGATGTACAATCACCATGAGGAGGAAGAAATTAAATCTATTTCAGTCCCACAAAATTCTAACAAGCATTTGGTTAAATCAGTATCTAAGGAAGAAATTCCAAAAAAGATATCTCCAAGGGTGAAACAAAGTTATTTCGTTGAGGAACATACCCCTGAACACAATGTTTCAGATATTGAAGAACAGGAAGAAATTAGAATGAAGACAGGATCCCCTTCACAAGAGCTAGCCCAATTGGAGCATAAAGAATTGACCATGTTTTTAGAATCCGAGCTTACTAAACTGAAAGATGATCTGAAAAAGGATAGCCAAATAGCAAAAGGAGTGGCTTCAAAGAGGCTAAGTGATCTTCCACCTCCTGAGTCTCTTCCAGTCTCCAGTCAACAACAACCAATATCATTAACCCTAAATTTGGATGCTAAATACAAATATGCAAGAAAAGCATTGCTTAGACAATACTTTAAGGATAGAAGCTCATCCAAAGAAAAGTTGACCGATGAGTTTGCAAAATTAGGTCAACCTATTGATCTCAATACATCTCTAAAATTGGAGAGATGGGATAAAGAAAATAGAGAATTGGAAAGACTGAAAGCATCAAGAAGAAAATATGAGAAGGATCTTGAAAATCTGGAAAAGCTTGTAGAAATTGAACAGATGGAACATGATGTCGAGCTAGCAAAGACCAAGTCACACATTGTCTCTAAAAACAAACCAATGGAAACCAAGCCAAAGAAAGGGTATTCCCAATTATTGCACAACAAGATGGAGTTTATGGGCAAAACTCTAGTATCCTCATCGGATAATATTAAAGAGGATGAACCTGAAGTATTAGTCAAACAAATATACCTCCTCAAAACTGAGAGGGAAAAATACCAATCACTTGTTGAAAAGCAGAAAGAAGTGATCAAAACCTTAACAGAAGATCTTTTAACAGAGGGTGAATTTTCTCCAAAGGAAAAACTTCAAATCATTGACAATATTATGCGACAGGCTCCAATCTTACACAATGAGGAAACAATTAAGGAATCGTACTCATCTCCAATGTGTGACCCTAAAATCCAAGCTGAGGAGGATAAAACTCTTAGTGAAAAAGAATCAAAGCAAGGCAAAACAGAAAAAAAGAAAAAGAGCAAAAACATGAAGAAAAAGTCAGGTTCGGAAGATGAAGAACCTCTCAAGAAAAAGACAAGTTCAAAGACAAAGGAGAGCAATTCAGAACCTAACAGATCTTCTACTCCCAAGATGAAGACAACAACAAATAGACCTTCATCTGCATCTAGTTTAACACGGAGACCATCTTCCTCTCTTTCGGAACCAATGAATAATACAGAGAGACGAAAAACAATAATAAGGCCAACATCACCTTCACTCACTAAGAGGCCTTCATCAGCTGCGGGAACAAGAAAAGTCACAATTTCTCTTGACCAACCCGTATCAGAATCTAGGAAAACAAGACCTGGTAGTGCCAGCTCTGCTCTATGTGATAAAATTGTTGATAGGCTTTATGAAGGAGGAATTGAAAAACAGGCAAAAGCTAGGGAATGGGCTACAAATCAGAAAAAGATACAAGAAGCCAAGGTAATGCAAGAAATGAGAGAAAAACCTATTCTTAACAGGAATTCTATCGAGATTATTAACAGAAAATATCATGCATCGGGAACATTTAGGGAGATTGACTCACCAATGGAATCATTTAAGAGAAATAGTGGAGAGTCTCCAACTTTTGAACTCAGAGCTCATAGTAGTGCAGGAAGTTTAGAAGAGATGAGACTCATGAGACAAGACTCTAGGAGAAGAAGAGTAAAGGAATACTATATAATGAAAGAAAGTATGTCCGAGTGTACATTTACCCCAAATCTAAGCAAGAAAACAAACGAATTGATTTCACAAAAAAGATCAAAAGAAGAAGGACCAATTTACAAAAAACTTTTCGAGGAAGCTAAAGAAAAAGAAGAACAAAATGCCAAAATAAGACAAGTGTAAGTATTTCAACAACTAAATTCCTAAGTAATTTGAAAGTGCTGTAAATATGAGAGAAGAGGAAGAAAAGAAACAACTAGTTAAACCAAAAGTGTGGAAGAATCCAGAGGAAGAACAAGCATTTATCAATAGAATGTTGGAATCAGGAAAAATTAAAGAAAAAAAGATGGAAGAGCTGAGAGAGAAAGTTTTTGAAAAGGAAAATCCTTTCAAACCACAAATCAATAACAATGACATCTCAGATAGGTCTGACATTTGTGAACATTTGTACAAACAAGGAGTGGAAGTTCAAAAGAGAAGACAATTCATTAAGGAGCAATATGATCAATATCTTGAAAATATTGCAGCAACTAGACACACAAACAAGGAGAGTACAAAATACATCCAAGGCATGAAGGAGAAGAGGATATTCTCCTTATTCAATTTATTCTGTATTGAATCTAACTCTGATAATATGCAAGTTGGAAAGCTTCACGGTGTTATTGAACCATTGCTAGAAAAATTTGGAGAACCAATGGCATTAGTCGTTCCACTTTTAGAGCATAATTTTGGAAACAAGGCTGTTCTTAATTATGATCAATTCAGAACTTTCCTTTCTAGTTCACAAGCGAGATTGAACTTGGAAGATTTAGCTTCCCAAATCAAGTTATTACAAAATCAAATTGAACTTCAGTTGGCTATAGAGAATAGAGATTTACAATTCACACCAAAAATATCAGAATATTCAAGAAAGCTTGATCCATTCGAAGGAGAAAACTTTCAAGATCGTGTAGATAATATGATGGCCTATAAAGAGGTTCGTGATAAGAAAATTCAAATGTTGAGGAATGGTTTGATTGAAAAGGAATTGGAAGAGTGTTCGTTTAATCCTAAAATCAATAAAAGGTAAAATTTAATATCGTACCACTTTTACAAAGTCTGATACTTCTGTAATGCTTTCACTTTCTGCCATTCTCTTGGATTTAAGCAAAAGGTCTTCTGTTTCTCTAACTGGTTCAATACTATACTTGATACATGAATCATATAATTTTTGAACTCTGTCCACAACTTCAAGATTCAATTTCATTCCAGTGTGCAAGATATCCAAATCAACAATGCCATTTGGCAAAAGACAATCATATAGTAATGTGTTTGCTAATGAAAAAGACTTGGTTTCAATAAGTTTGAGAAATATAAATTTCAATTCTGGCAAACTCAGTGCCTCCTTACTATTTTCGTCTACAGTAATGCCAGGTACCTTTTGTAAATATTTCCTAGATTCTAAGAATTTGGATTGCAAAGCGAAAGCAGTACTGGTGTAAAGATAGGAGATAGTGTTTGGATGGGTATACATGTTAGCCATATCTAATAGCACTTTTTCACACAATTCAACATTACCGAAAATTGCATGATAATTAAGTACCTGATTGTAAAAGTATAAAGAATTCTCAGAGCTATTTTTCTTAGCATATTCAATACCCTTTTGATAATATTGATTAACAATTTCTGCATTTCTTTGCACAGTACCATATTGAACAAACATGCAACAAATGTGGAAATTTGTCTTGATGTTAAACTTTTTAGTTGCAAAATCCAAAAACATTTGAGCATTCTCCAAGTTATTGCTCTGTAAGAATGATTGAATAATTGGTGCTATTGAGTAAATATCTGGCTGAACATGAGAGTTTTTCATTTCTCCAACAATTTCTATAGCTCTTTGTTGATTATTTGCTTTGCAAAATCCGTTAATTAATGAGTTATATGTGTGTGAAGTTATCTTTTGACCGCTTGACTTCATCTTTTCAAAAAGGTGGGAAGCTTCTACAAGCTTTCCTGCATCCAAATATCCTCTCAGTAAAAAGTTAGAACAGTATGACAATGGCTCATCACCTCTTGTTCCCTTAAAGGTAGTAAAAGCTTCCTCAAGAATTCTGTTGGCCATTTCAAAATTGCCCATCTTACAAAAAGACCTTATCAAAGATGCAAATGAACTTGGGAAAATATGTAATCCTGCTTCCCTAGACTGATGATAAATATCCAGAGCAGCTTGAATATTTCCTGTTTTGGCATGTCCCTCAATAAATGCTCCAATTAAAGCTGGATCTTCCTGGAATTTTCTTTCATGAAACTCTTTCAAAACTTCTTCGGCAGAGTTGAGATCTCCACTTTCACAGAGTGCCTTGATGAAAGTAATATATGTTAATCTTAATGTATTCAATGATGCATGTCCTGCCTTTTGTAAGGATTTAATACTTTCAAAGTATCCCTTAGCTGAGTGAATATCTCCCATTTTGCAATAACCATTCAAAAATAATTCATAAATTGGAGCATTGACATCTATTTTGTAATGTTTGGTCATTAAATAAAGACAGTTAGAGGCCAATTTCATTTTTCCTTGTTCAGTCAGCAGTTTCAGAGCAGCTTTAAACATTGGAAAATCTGGAGGAACTGGCTGATATTTCATTGTTTGTTTAGTTGCTTTATCGATAGAGTATTGTTTGTGAACGGACTCTAATAACGATAAAGCAGGATACAGTTTACCTTCCTTTGAATAGTATTCGAAAAATCTAGTATATGTAGTTTTGTCTGGTCCTTCAATTACTAAATTCATTGTGTTTTCCATTTCCTTAAGGAGAGCTGTAGCTTCTTCCTCTCTTCCCGAAGAAAGTAATGAATGAATGACAATATCACAATAACTGCTCGGAATTGGTTTGTGAGTTTTTTCCTTCAACTCGTTTAAACAATCCAAAGCACTGTGAGCCTGTCTAATCATTGAAAAGGCATTCAAAAAGAATTTGTAGAGAGCAAAATCTCTATCTGGATTAGCAAGTGGCTTTTTCTTGCAATTTAACACGTAATAATTAATAATATTCTCAAATCTTCTCTTCTTTTCCATGGATTCCAATTTCTTGTATTCTTTATCCTTGGAAAATTCGGAATCAATTATTGTTGTACTTGTAGATGACTCGTTTTGAATTTGTTTTTCACTACTAGCAGTCTTTGGTTCCGAATTTACAGTTTCACTCTTTGAAAAAGCTTTAAAAGCTGTTTTAATATAATCCAAACCAATACTTCTTCCGTGATGATGATGATGAAAATTCTCGGAACATAACATTCCATTCGAAATGTTTTTTGTTAGATTGGCTTGCAAAGTTGAGGAAAAATTGATTGAATTCAAGCCTTTTCCACTACGAGATGATGATGATACTCCAAGGAGAGAGCGTAAAACAACAGGACAATACCTTCTCTTCATTTTTTCTTTGAGGTCATCTATAATTCTACAAATTTGGTCCGTTTTTGAAAAGAGGAAGTTTTTGAAAAAGTGAAAATTTTTAACATGGTTTATGAGCACGAGCTAATAAAAACTCAGTTTCTAAATGAAAATTAAGATATTGTTCAATTATCGTTTTTAGTTTTATAGTTTTTGATGTATAGAATTGAGTTTAATAAATGCATTTCACACTCAATTAGTTCTCTGTGAAATTGCAACATGTTACAATTCAATAGTTATTTTGATTGTAGGTTTCATTTCTGCTGGATATGAAGAAAAAGTTGAATTTAAATGAGGAAAAGACTTGCTTCCAAGTATCAACATACTCCAAAAACACTCATTGATTAGGAAATAGAAAAAAGACAACTGAGCTAGTGTACCCACTTCACAATCGAGTACTCAAACCCATAAGTTGCCTTTTGATGATACCTTTGGTTGTTGGATTGCAGTGTGATTGCTATGGAATGATGAATGTTGATCTCTCTATGTATTCAATTAATTTACATTCTATTAATAATTGTGGTTAAAAATTTTAATAAGCTTTTAATCATAAATTATTGAACTTTCAAATTGTTCTATGACGTAGAAAAAGTTAATATAGAATGGCATTGATGAACATATAAAAAAGAAAAGACTACAGCACCACAGGTTCCCAAGTTGTCTCCAACCTCAGTACTGATGTGGCTCGACGATGCTTAACTTCTCAAATCGGACGGGATGAGGTGTATTCATCGTGATATGGCCGTAGCCATCATTTATCTTAATTCTTAGTATAAAAACAATCTCATAACAGTCATTAAGCAATTGCTGATAATCCTTTATTCAAAACCAATTGTTCAGCCACTGAATTTGTACTATCAATATGTTTCGTTTGTTTTAAAGTACTTAAGGATGGCCTGATAATGTTGCTATCTTAATAAATGGTTGACCTAACTTTTTAGTTTCTCAAAAACTATCTTCCCATTTTGTGGTAAATCAAATTCAAGTGCATTGAAACCCTTCGAATAAATTACCTTTTCTAATTTTGGTAATTTTAATAAAGATTCCAATCCAAACTGATCTATTTCAGCATATTTGATGGAGAGTTTCTTAATAGACTCAAATTTAGAGAAATGTTCTGCTAATTCATTCGTAATACTAAACATTTTAAAGGTTTCCAATTGTTTAAATGTTTCAGGGGTCAACCTTGTGAGATTTTCCCTATATCCACCATTCTCAAATGAAAGCTCTTTCAATTGACTATTTTTGGAAATTGAATCCATCAAATAATCAGAAAACTCAGCATATGACAAGCTTAATCTCAATGTTGTGAGTACCATCTTCTCCAAATATTTCAACTTATTTATGGCTGCAAATGATTCAACAACTTGCTCACTTGTTGGATCTTCTGTAATTTCACCTCTTATTAGATAAATAACGGAATAAATCTCTTTGATATTCTTCCAATTTTCAAATATTTCTGGCGCTGTAAAAATTGATGTTAATGATTTGTTTTTGAAATATTCTAATTGAGGAGTGTTTTTTGATATTTCAATAAAATGTTCAATTAATGAGCTTGAATCAATACAATCCAATGTCAATTTCTTCAAATTTCTACACTTTGCAATTAAAGAAGCCAAGCTTGAGAGACCATAATCACTATTAGAATAATAATCACATCTAATATTAATATTTTCCGAACTTGTAAACTTTTTCAATGCCCATTGAGAAACATATTCTGGAAGATCGTCACTAGATAAGTGAATTGATTTAACCAAATCTGTATCCACATTTTTGAATGTTCTTTCCAAATTTTCAATTACTTTTTCTTCAGTATTATGTTTCTGGAGGTTTGGTTTCAAAATATTCGATTTTTCACCTTCTATCAAGTCAATTCTCTTTCCATCATTGGCACAAAGTTCAATATTTATCACTTGTCTTTCAAATGATTCTTCCACCCTCGTTTGATCCCAACACAAATTCTTGAATAAGAAGCAAATATTTCCTGTTCTAAATCTTCCAAAATAATACTTGAAAAATGTTGAAGATTTTCCACTGCACAACTTGGCTTCAAATTCTAAATAGGACAGAATTTCCATGATGATTTCTGATGGAAGCTGGTGATAGAGTTCCCCACCATGTGTTGACATTTTTTTTGTAATTGGATCTTATTTTTAAATTTCAAAGTTCATCAAAGCTCTATACGGAATGATTGAAATTTAATACATCGGATGAGGAAAGTCTTCTTTGATGGCTTTCCACTAAGGAATTGAGACATTTTGTGTTAAAAAATACAATACATTTAAAAACAAAGCGATGAGGAGAAAATGTGCAATTAGAATATGAATGGATTTCAATGCATTTCATTGAAGATGTATGAATAATACCCAAATGGTGGATTTAAGGGTTGAATTTGCATTTCTACTCATTGAACATGAAGAATTTCGAATAAAAAAGTAGTATAATTATACATTCCTTAGCATGCTTTTTTTAGAAATATTTTCAATCAAAAAAAATGATCCAACAACACTTATCAACCTCACTCGTCGATGTTATCATTATTGGAGGTAGCTTTGCAGGTTTATCAGCAGCTATGGCATTAGGAAGAGCATCAAAATCAGTCCTGATTTTCGACACTAACAAGCCATGCAATAGACAAACTCCATTCTCTCACAATTTCATTCTGCATGATGGTGAAGCTCCATCACAAATTAGCAAAAAAGCCCTTGAGCAAGTTCTCAAATATTCAACTGTTTCGTATAGGATGGAGGAGGTTTTGAAGGCAAGTAAGGGCGAATGCAGCAGCAGATTTCAAGTAGAAACCAATAATGGAATCTATCATTCTAGAAAGGTGATTTTGGCATCAGGTCTCAAAGATGAGTTTCCACTCATTCAGGGAGTTTCTGAATGTTGGGGAATTTCTGTTCTTCATTGTCCATATTGTCATGGTTATGAGGAGATTGGAAAGCAAACAGCCCTCATTTCGAATAATGAAAAGACCTTCGATTCATGTGTAATGATCAGTAATTGGGCAAAGGATTTAATATTGCTGACTGATGGCCCTTGTACTCTCACTCCAGAGCAACAACATTTAGTACATGTTAAAAATGGAATCCAAATTATTGAGAAACCCATTGAAAAGCTCATTCATCATCAAGGTAGAGTTCAAAAGATTGTTTTTAAGGATTCTTCTGAAATTGAACTTGATGTAATTTATCTGAAACCAAAGACAACTCAAGGAAACAACTTGGCCAAACAATTGGGATGTGAATTGACCACAACCAATGAAATTATTGTCGATTCTCTCCAAAAGACCACTGTTGAGGGTGTGTATGCTGCAGGAGATGCCACAACCTACATGAGAAGCGTGGCATTGGCTGTGGCCTCAGGTCAAAAAGCAGGTATTATGGTTGATCGTGAAATTAATATTGAAAACTTTAAAAACTAAATTTTTGTAAATTAATTAAATATTAAATATTTTGATTACAACAAGTCAATTAAATATAAAATAAATTTTTAAAAAAAAATGGGTTTGCATAGTTACTTTCTTAAAGCCACCGGAGATTGCAGAATTATGGCCAAACCATTCAAAGAGGCCATAGAAAAACATCAGAAAGAAACTGGTACATCCTATCCAATAGATGCCTATGATTTAACATTGCATCCTCCGAAAGTGGACGAAACTAATGGTGAAGAATTCTACACATTGCAACAATTTGGTGAAGTAATTCACTATCGAAAGTTTTATCAATATTTGGGGAAGGATCTTTCTCTATGTTTACAAAGTATGTATGAAGCAATGAGTATTGACCATGCTTGTTGTTACAAAAGTGAAACGAAGAAACATCCAATTGCTACAGAGAAACGAGCAGTTGGAAAACTAAATGGTGAATTATGTAAATGTGGATCACTAGAGGAGTTTAAATATTTACTGAAAGCTCATTCGAATAATATTAAGAGTGGTTTCGTATATAGTGGAGTGAGAGAAGAGCAATTGAGTGATATCAGAATTGTAACTCAAATGGAGAGTATTGAATATGATGAATTTTCTTCCAAGTCAAGAAAGTACAATACAGAACCATGCAGATTGTACTTTAGTACTGATGATTTGGAGTTTGGATATCTGGAATTTTTATCATTTGGTAGGGGAATAATTCTTGCTGTTTCGTATCCATTCGCTAACACAAGATTTCCATTATTTGAAAGTGCAGATACCTTTGGATTTCTCACAAATGTTAACGAAGATATATTCGAATGGGGTGTTAAATACATTGAACTGGAAAAGAATAATTATATATATCTGTAGTTGTTAATTAACTGATAATGTCAACTCCTTAATTAATTGATTTGTTTGTTGGAATGAAAAGAAAAAACTTACAAAGACAGTTTCTAGTTTCCAATTAATTGAGATTGTTTTTATACTAAGAATTAAGATAAATGATTACGGCCATATCACGATTCATGCACCTCATCCCGTCCGATTTGAGAAGTTAAGCATCGTCGAGCCACATCAGTACTGAGGTTGGAGACAACTTGGGAACCTGTGGTGCTGTAGTCTTTTTTATAAACTATTTCTTTTATTGAGATACAGTATGTCTGTTTAAAAATTTACCCATTACATTTTCATATAGGACTTTATGATAGTAATAACAAAGAAATTCACAATTCCAACTTATATGGATGTGAAACAGTGGACCATACAGACTCGGTGAAAAAGAATATTGACTTTTAAACAGGATGGAACACATCTATAGGTATGCAGATGAATGAATTGAGAAAAGACTTGGAGTTTATTAAGTCAAAGTTGATGGAACTATTATTGGAAATCTACATGGCTTCTGAACATTTTATTAGACAATTAGCTGACATGTTTGAAATTTTGATTTAGAAACAAATCCATTGAATTGAATTGAAAAATCCTCTTATGGTTGGTCAGAAGTACATATTCTTGTTTTTAATGGATTGGATTAATAACAAATTTTGGTATCATATAAATTCCTAATCAAAAACGATAACTATATCTAGGTGCTATTAAAGCACAATTCTCTTCAATTTTTGATTTTTCATCTGAGCCCAGTTCAATACTACCCATCAGTGTGTCCAAATTCAACCAACACATATCTTTCTCTAGTTTAAAATAATTTAATTCTCTATTTTCTCTAAATTGCTCGTCTAAATATCTACCTAACAAAAAAAAATCCCAGTAACATTTGATACGTTTCACTTTGTGGATAATGTAATTATTATTATCTACAACAGTAAACATATTTCTATTTAATTTTTTAATATAGTACTTTTCCACACCAGCTGTCTGGAGACATTTCATATTTGGAAATATTTTATGGAAATATTCATCAATTTTAGATACATTATTATTAAACTCATGTTCACATTTATAATCCATTACTTGATATTGCAATTCTTGAGATGAAAATATTTCAATACAATAATCCAAATAATCCTTAATATTCACATTGAACAATGTAGATAAATTAACTATTTTCAGAAATGAATCATTGTCAATTTTTTGCAAGTTATTATTAACCAAATTTAGAATATTTTCAAATGTACCTCCATAAAAAAAATTTTCTGGTGTTTTACATTTCAAAATTATTAAATTTTTTAATTCTTTGCAATGCTCATATCCAATAAAAATTGATTTCAATAACATTATTTTCAAATAGTTGTAATCTTTCAAATCCAGTGTTATAGATTTATCCTTTAATAGTGCTAATAATTTACATAATTTTACTGAATCATTTATAATGAAACCTTGAATGTTGTTATTATCAAAATAATTATTCACGATAAAATTATAAACATTTTCAGAAATATTTTCATTATTATCGAAATAAATAATTAGATTTTTTAAAAATCTATTATAATTAACACATTCCTTAATAAATTTATCGCTATAAATTAAATTATTACTAAAAATATCTTTAAAATCATAAATACTTTCAACATATTCAATCACTCTATTGGGATTATTCAAAATATTGTGAATAAATCGAGAAATAGAATCCCAATTTGAACAATTAACTTGAGATTTCAAATAATCATAATCAAATTTAGAAACAATTGTAGAATTATTCTTAATTTTGTTTTCCACTTTTTTAAATCTCTTTAAACACCTCCTTCTTTCATGAAAGTAGAAATACCTTTCCACATATTCTCTAAATTTCAAATGTTCAACATAGAACAGTTCCTTCAATCGATCATCTCTTTCGTATAGGAATGATTTGAATTTATCCAGCCAAAATACACCAATCGTTCTATTGTTATGGCAATCAGCATCAGTAGGACTTGATTGAGTAAGAGTTTCAATATTTATCAATTGATCATCGTGATCATGATGATTATTTGTATAAAAATTAATTGCCTGATTCCAATCAGAAGAAACACATCGGAATGAACATAAATCATGTAATGAAATATAGGACACAACAATAGACAACGTATCGATTGATAAAATAGATGAACATTGTGCGAGATTGTTGGTTGACATTTTTTTAAAAGTGAATTTCAAAATGCAATTTACCAAAACTAACGAATCTTATCATTTATATTAGTTTTTGATGTACACAGAATTGAGTTTAATAAAAAAGACTACAGCACCACAGGTTCCCAAGTTGTCTCCAACCTCAGTACTGATGTGGCTCGACGATGCTTAACTTCTCAAATCGGACGGGATGAGGTGCATGAATCGTGATATGGCCGTAGCCATCATTTATCTTAATTCTTTGTATTTAATTCATAGAATAGAAACAACCTCAAACGCATTAGTTAATGTTAACCTTATGTTGAATCATATTAATGGTTCCTTAAAACCGAAAGCTTAATTTCATTGTTCTTAATTGCTCGGAATTGTATTATTCCCGCCAAAAGAAAACTCTGAACATCCTACAAAAAAAATAGCACAACTAGACAACTTCACCAATACTGTATTAATACATTAAGGTTTGATGTAACATGACCGATCGAACAAACAAGAGAGTTCATGTTGAAGGCTTGCTGAAGAGAAAGATGATTGAGGAGACCTCACAATCTGATTCTCAATTCATCAAGGGAAGCAAGGGATCTTCAAGTTTCGCTCAACCATCAACTCCCAAGTCAACCAGAAGGAAAATCAAACAAGACAATCGTAGCAATGATATGTTTACCATTCCTAACCAATTGAAGTCTGTGTTTTACTCTCAAGAAACTTCCTATCAACCAATAAGCCTCAACTCAAAATCTTCAAAGATATTTAATTCATCTTTGCCTCCAACCTTTGCAAACTTTGGAACGATTGAACAATCAACGAATAATCCTTTCCAATTTTCAAATCTGAATAATAACTCTGTACAATATTCAGAAGATGACATTTTCCGTCCTTCTGCTCAATCAACAACTCCTTTCTCCAATGGACCATTCACTCCAAGCAAGAGAATTGATTCATCAAACAATTCTACTCCATTCTTTAAGAGTGCAACCTCCTTTGACTCTGATTACAATCCTGCACCATTCTCTCCAATCAAAGCACAAGGAAATATCCACAAGAATAGCCTCTTTTCAAATACACAAGCCGGCAGCTGTGGTTCTTTCGAGTTCGAAGAGCAAATCAACCAACAGGCTCATCAACCAGATACGAAATTCAATCTTTTTAGGCAACAGCAACCCCGTGAGGAAGTCGATTTATTCTCTCCTTTGCAACCAAATCGTTATGTTAGCAGAGTGGCATCCAATGATACATTTTCCACTTTGTTTTCACAATTCGAATAACAATTCTACCATTTAATTTCCATGCAGGAATTAAGAGTTGTGATTTATTTTGCCTTTCCTGCTTGGGAAACATTCATTTCAACACGAATGGCAAGTGTCTTGCAGAGCCAAATTGAAATTTGTATGACTGGTCTTGTCAAAAATAAAACAAAAAAATTCTTTTACCGACAAGCAGCAGCTGACTACCAACACCTGTCAGGACAGTTTTAGACGCTTGAGCATTACAAATTTCTAATACTACTACATTCATACATTGTAGTGCTGTACATATCATAGAATTCAAAGAGAGTATTTAAAACCCAGTACTCTCATATTTATTGTCCGGAAATCTTGACAATTACAAATATATTGACTATATCCCTCCACCACCATTACAAAATTATTTTGAACGAAGTATTTAAAGCTTTTATAAAGATTCGAACATGAATAACAAGCAACAACAACAACAACAACAACAACAACAGGGTTTCTTCTTTCCCAATAATAACATGATGGGTACTACAACCTCCAACAATGTTTCAATGGGTAACAATAACAACAACAGCAATACATCCTCTCCAATGATGATGTATTCTCACCAAATGAACATGATGCCGCAAAACAATCCAATGATGCTCTCTCATCATCCAATGATGTATTCTCCTCAACATCAACAACAACAACAACAACTATTGGGAGGTTCCACTACTAATAACAATTACAAGATGGAAGAAAATAACTACAATACCTCTTCCTATCAATACAATCTATTGAATGGTAGTAATAATAATAACATGAATAATACAACAACCTCAAGTGGTTCAAGTTATTTGAATAATTTTGTTGCCAAACAATCATCATTTGCTTACAATAGTCCTAATAATAATAGTACTACTAAAACAGCAACAACTCCATTGTTGAATAGTAACAGTGGAAGTAGTTTGAATAATAGTATTTTGAGTGGTTTATCCTCTGGTAGCAATCAAAGTAATTACTCAACCCAAAGTAATAGTACAACTCAGAGTAATGTTAGTAGATCCTCTCCAACTCATTCCAATGATTCGTCTGATGATTCATCTAATGGACTTCCAAGCATGTTGACTATTAATAACAAACGTAATAATGTTAGTCAGTCAACTACAACTCCTGTGATCAATACTCAAAATTTGAAGAGAGCACAAAGTCGTTCTGCAGTCACACCAAATCGTTATAACAATGATAATCAATTCAAGAGAAGAAATGACCAACAAAACAATCGTGCTAATAGTGTCAATTCTCCAACTCAATTGGGTAACTTGAATGATGTTGTAAAGAGAAGTCATGCTTTACGTACTCAATACTTATCATTTTGTGATCAATATGGAGTTAAACCAAGTCAGGAAGTTATCAGACTCATCAAGGTTGCTGTTCGTAATCAAGAGCCGTTACTAAAGTTATCCATTTGCCATGCTCAAGCAGATGACAATCATATCAAAGCTCTTGTTCATGCATTAACTTCCGTACAAAATGATAGAAACAATAGAGGAGGTAATAACAATAGAAAGGGTTCAAATTTGAACACAAATCAAACTCTATTCGATGTCAATGAAATTCTATTGAATCACAATAATATTAGTGATGTTGGAGCAAATTTAATTATCAAGGAGTTGCTTCTTCCACAATCACCATATCACAAACAAATTATTAGTATTGAATTGTTTGGAAATGAGTTGACTGATGCTTGTTGTGAATTAGTTGCTGAAATGCTCAAGACTAATAAGGTTTTGAAGAGATTGAAATTGGGTGACAACAAAATTGGTCCAGAAGGTGCCAGAATCCTAGGAGAAGGTTTGAAACATAATCAAACCTTGACACAACTCCACTTGGGTGGAAACAAAGTTGATGTTGTCGGTATTAAGAGTATTGCTGATGCTCTTATTAATAATACATCTTTGACTTCATTGGGTTTAAGAGATAATGGTATTGGAAGTGATGGTATGAAATATTTGGCAGAAACACTCAAGTCTAATACTCAATTGAGTGATATTCAATTGAAAGGAAATAGTATCAAGGCTATGGGTGCTTCGTGTCTTTCAACTGCTTTAATTACTAACCAATCTCTCAAAGTTCTTGAACTTCAATCAAATGCTATTGGTCCAGTTGGTGTCAAGAGTCTTTGTCAAGCTCTCAAAGACAATCACAGCGTTCATGCTCTCAATTTTAATGACAATGAACTCGGAGATGAAGGTGCTCTCTACGTTGCCAATCTTCTCAAAGTTAATCCATCAATTACTACTTTGGGATTGGCAAATAATAGAATTAGAAAAAAGGGTGCTGTAGCTCTTGCAGAAGCATTGAAATGTGAGCAAACAGCTGTTACTGGATTGGATTTAGGTAACAATGAAATTGGTAATGGAGGTGCAGTTGCACTTTCAGCTGCTCTTGCAGTCAATACAGTCCTTACTTCTCTAGATTTGAGAAGTTGTGAAATTCACTTGAAGGGTATTTTAGCTCTTTCTAATATGGCAGAAACCAACACAACCCTAAGACACTTAGATTTAGGTGCTAACTATGCAAAGAACCAAGGTGCTTCAAGTTGGGCTCAAGTTCTCTCCAAGAATAGATCATTAACAAGATTGTGCTTGACAGACAATCAAATTTATCATGAAGGTGGTGAAGCACTTGCAATTGGTTTACAAAGTAATTACACTTTACGTAATTTCTCCTATGGTGGTCAAGGTCCACAACAAAACAAAATTGATTCTTCAATCAGAAGAATTATTGATAGTATTGTTACTGAGAATAAGAAGTATTGGGAACAAAATCAAACCTCATCTGAAGTTACCTATCCTTCTAATAATCAAATGAGAACAATTGATATTTCAAAGATGAGATTACAACAACAATTATACTTTAGTAGAATGACCAATGAGGAAAATGGACAAACTGATGAATTGGGTGACCAAGATAACTTGTCAGGAAGTGATGAAAATAACAGTGTTTCAGATACACTCATGTCACCAAGTGAATTCAGTGCCATGTCTCCAATGTATCCTCAATCTCCATCAGTTGATGGCAAGTCTTACAACTCTATGCCAAATTGGCTCCTTTCATCAGTTCACATTCCAAGATCAAATATTGATCCTGAGGAAATTGATTTTAAACTAGAGTTTATTTTCAAAAACAAACTTCTCAAAGCTGAAAATCCTAAATTCAAAGGATGTTACTTTATTGGTAACATTGTCAATACCTTGAAAAAGGTGTATCCAGAAACTAGAATTGATGAAGGTCAACTTGTTCAATTTGCTATGAATAATCCTAAATATCAAGTTCACCTTTCAAGAGAAATGGTTAAGACACAAATGAAATACCTTGGCGATCAAGAATCTGCTAAGACCCCAACTCTCAACACTTCTGCATCCTCTTCATCATCAGAACCTCCAACTCTCATGCCAATTCAAAAGAAGAGTTCTATGAGAACAGGTAAAACACCAAGCGGTTTGACCTCTCCAAATGAAGTTAAAAAGACAGTAAGATATGAAGCACCAAGCAATTCGACACCAAAAATGTCGAATAATACCACCACTAGTACAAGTGGTAGTAATGATAATGATATTTCAACATCTACTTGTCCACAAACTCCACCATCTCCAACTCTTCAAATCAAAACCAATTTCCAAGCTCCTCTCAACAAGAGAGCATACACTGATCCAGGTATTCTTGGTGGATTGGGAAATTCCACCTCAAATTTATTATCAAATGGACCTTCATTGATGGAAAGTGGAAATTTATTCTCACTCTACTCTCCTCCATATCAATCCATTTTTAATCCTCAATCACAAAGTGGAAATCCAAGTGGTTTGGGAAGAACTCTTTCTCCATTCTTGGACAGTAACTCATTTGGAATGGGTTCATTTGCAAGTCCAATGACTCAAAACACAATTGGATATCCACCATCCACTTTCTCTATGTTTGGCCAATCTCCTTCTCATCTAACTTCTAACTCTGCCAATAACTTGAGCAATTCAAGTCCATATTTTGTCGGTAACTCTCCAAACAAACCATCAACACCAGGTGCATCACAAACTGCCTCAAATCAATCAGTTCATGAAAGAACTGAATCAGACGAAACTTATCATCGTTACGATTCTATGGTTGATAAATTATTGCAATAAACAGTTTTGTTTTTATCTTGATCACATTTTCGTTGATTGACTGTGTTGTTATTTTGAGAGATCTTGCTTTCGTGGTTTCCTCATACAAAAGCTGATGAATGTTGACAAAATATTTACGTCTGTTATTTTCGGAACTTGCCAAATTGCCCTTCTTGCTGGTGATCTTCATTGAGCGTGTTTCATGACAGCATTCCTTTCATCACTTGTATCAAAATACTTTCCACTTTGAAAAAAACAAGACAGTTTACATTCTTCACTCTTTCGTCTAGTTTCCAACAACCAGCAGCTCACCAACTTTCACTGTTGAACAAAGAACCTTTGACAAATCAGCATCAAAAAACCATCCCGTTGAAGAGTCGTATTTCACCATTCAATAACACCAACAATTGTACAATCAACCTCTTCAAAACTCCTTTTCCCTCTTCCGTGTAAAGAGTCTCCGAGAGAGTGATAAAATATTTTCTAGGTTACACGTTTGTGCGTTAATAACGAGACGTTTGCATTCACAGCAACAAATTTTAAAAAAATCACAACAACAACGATCAGCGAATTGGAGAGGTGTTATTATTGTGTTTGATTATAATAGAAAATCGATACGACAAGAAGAAGAAGAACACCAACACCACCGATTTTTAGAAAAATCCGAGAACGTTAATTTGGAGAGTATAGAGTGTGTACATAGTATTATTCTCTCCTATTTTGAAAAATGTTCAAGGCTCTGCGTAACTATTGGAACTATAATGATATTATAGATATTAATATAAACGAGAGGCTGAAATGTAAGTAGATTTGTGTATGAAAATGTCAAGTAATTTATTCAAATGGCTGTTGGTTTATTCCGATAATGACAAACTATAACATTTATGATGGAATATTACTATTAAAATCTTTGTGATGATATCATCCAATCACCAACACCCTACTACTATCAATAATTTTCATCATCTCTGCTTATCACTGCTATGATTGTGTGATATTCTAAATATTTACCATCTCCATATCATCATCAATACTATTACTATTACTACTACTAGATATTCACAATGACAATGGAACTGATGAAATGAACAATAGAATATCAACCATGTTGACTGATAAGTACAGTGACAAGGTTTTTGTATTCAATTTCACTTCTAAACCATTTCCTGCCGTAACGACGAGACCATGTTTCGAAATTGGTTCAACTCCTGTCATTAGTGAACATTTCGAACAACTTCCAGTACTTCTTTCCCTTTCATCCATGATTGATAATTTCCTCCTAAATTATTCAACTTCCAAAGATTATTGTATTGTTATTGTTGCATCAACAAAAACAACTTGTTATGCACTTTTATTAGCAGCTGTATTTGTTTCATATACTGATTCTAAAATGTATATGGATATGTACGGAATTGAACAATCTAGTCTCAAATCTCATCATCCAGAAAGAACAGTCACAACTGTTGTTTTAGATGGAGCAGGAGGTTCATCATCTAATCTGGCCTCTGTTAGTGTAAATTCTCTTGAAAATTTGGATACTTCTGATCAGCAACAACCACAATCAAATTCAACAGAAGTTTCACCTAATGTGGAACCAAATCAATCACAAGATAATGAAGTTAATATTACAGTTACAACAGCAGATGAAGAAGATGGAAAAGTGCTTCTCAATAATAATGATCTTGATGCAGTTTCTACTACAAGTAACCAAACAACAACCACCACAACAACAAATTATAGTCAGAGAATTTTAAATACCATGATGATTTTGAACCAAGCAAGAGATATTGTATATACTAGATTAGAAAAGAAATTGAATCCAAAATCTATGACTCTTTTGAAGAGTCTTGAACCATCAGTTTATCGTTATGCTAATTTATTCCTTATTTCACTTCAAAGACCACTCACTTTGATGGTACACGATGTTCCAATGTTGACATTTTCTCCTTCAGTCAACCCAACATTTAAAGGTTTCTTTAAACCTTCAGTATTTAGATTGCAATGCATTTCCATGAATAGTTCTAGGTTATGTGTAAAACATTCTAATCATAATATGGCAACATCAATGGTTGAGTCAACATCACGCGATAGAAGAATGAGTTTGCAACCATCTAGAACAACACCTAAAAGAGATGAATGGCTTGCAATTAAAGGTGATGATGAAGATACAGTTCCTGACAGTCTAAATTCTTTCCAATATAGAAAGTTATATTTCGTCGTAAGAAAACAAACCGATATTTTGTTTTCTACATTTACTACAGCTTCTGTTAATAATGCTCCAAGAGTTGAGAGAAGAAAAACATTTATGAGTTCACCAAGAGGTGAAGAAAGACCTTCTACAAGAATTGAAACATGGTTCCACTATACATTACCATTCAATGAAAGCAAACCATTGATGGGAGATTTTATTCTTCTTGCTTTTACAATGGCTGACGATGGTAACATTATTTCTCTCTTTAGATTTACTTTTAATACTCTTTTTTTAACAAGCACTGTAGTAGTGGTAGACAAGAGTGAACTCGATTGGGCTCACAATTCACCAAGTTTCTCCGGAAACTTTAAACTAGAGTTAAACTTTTCAGAAATTGATTGTGCAAGTGAGGAAGATGCAGCTGATCTTTCAACAAGTTATTGGACTGAATTAGTTTGTTCACTTGAAAAGTGTCCTCATTTCTTATCTAGAACAACAGAAATTGAACATGCCAGATATCTAATCTCGACAAAACCTTATGCTGATATGAATATAGTAGAGGAAGAAAAGGAACCTGAACCAAGTACTACAACACAACCAACATCTGTAAATAATTCTCCTGTGCCAAATAGTAATATTCCTTTACCATCTTCCAATATTCCACTTCCACCTGGTGGAAGTAATATTCCTCCACCTCCAGGTAGTAACATTCCGCCTCCACCTCCATTTGGTAACATTCCACCTCCACCAGGCATGGGAATCCCTCTCCCACCTGGCGGTATTCCTTTCCCACCTGGTGTTCCACCTCCACCTGGCGCAATCTCTTTTGGTACTAAAAAGAAGTACATTCAACACACTGAAGAAGAAGAGGTCAGTAAGACCAAACAATTGCATTGGAAGCCAATCAAGAAAGTTGACTCGGAATATTCTGTGTGGAGTAAGATTGAAGTTGATCCTAACATGATTGATTTGGAAAAAATTGAAATGTTGTTTGCTAAACAAACAAAGGCTGAAGAAGAACCAGAACCAGCCACTGGTGGTGCCACTCCAAGACAAGGATTTACCTCACCAAGAGGCGGTACCAAAGCTTCTCCTAGAACTTTACAAAAATCATTGGCAACTGAAGGTATTATTGATAACAAGACAGCTAGAAATATTGAAATTATTATTAACAGTCAATTTAAATCTATTAGTAATGAAATTGTTGTTGAAGCTATCAATAATCTTGATATTACAAAGCTCACTAATCAACAAATTGAGAATTTAGAACAATTCACAAGTAGTGGTGATACCTTAACAATGAAGACTAAACTTAAGGGGTTGGATCGCGAAGAACTTCCAAAGTCTGATATTTTCTTCTTGGATATTTTGGCTATTGAAGATGTTGCCTCCAAGCTTAGATTGATGAGATACATGTCATCATTCCCAATCTTACTTAAAGAAGTTAGTGAAAAGATTGAAAAGAAGAGAAAAGCCATCGAGTGTATAGTTAATTGCAAGTCATTTGCCAAGCTTTTGTCATATGTCCTTGCCATTGGTAGCTTTATGAACAGAGGTAAGAAGCGTTTGGAAGGTGAAGGATTTGATTTGAGAATTTTGACTAAACTTAAAGATACAAGATCAACCGTCGATAAGAGTACTACTTTGATAAGCTATCTTGTAAAAATATGTGATGAAGAAACAAGAAACTTTGATGAAGAACTCTACGAGGCAGGTGTGTGTAATAATGGTGTCATAATTACTGTTCCTGGACTTGTGTTGAATTTTTCTGAATTAGAATCAATGTACAAGTTTATTTGTAAATCCAAGCAAGATATTCCAAGAGGAGCCTATACTGATTCTTACAAGAAAATGTTAGAAGAATTTTATGAACTCTGCCAAAAGGACTTCCCTTCAACCAAAGAATCATTTGAAAAACTCCAAAAGGAATTCACTGCCTGTTATGAATTCTATCACTTTGTTCCTGTTGAATCCACCGACAAGCAATTGGCAGAAGATGAATTCTTTGCTTTAATTTCAGAATTTGTTTTACAATTCAAGAAAGCCAAGGAAGCTGTATTCAAGTCTCAAGTAGCAGCTAGATCTATGAAGAGATCTCAATCTATGAAATTAGATCTAAATAGAGTTAGACCAGGCATTGAAAAATAAACTATTTAATTTATTCTTACTTGCTTCTAGTGGAATACTTGAATCTTTCCTTTACAAATATTAGCAACAATTAATTGTCTTGATTCAAAGTCAATTACAAAATCTAAACCAGCTCCACAATAAATTTCAAACCTCTCTTCATAATTTGGATCATATTTCAGAAACAATCTCTTGGTTCCATTCAATAAACATGATTCCAAACATTCATCACCAATATAATAAATTCTGTCAGATTGAATTGGATCAACTTGAATTCTACAACTTTCACCTTCTCTAATCTTTTGTCCCTTCTTGAGAATTTTTCCCTTTTTATCGCAAATCAAAATCCATCTCTTTGTAGAAATGATCAATTGGTCATTACAATCAGTTGCAACACCAACCAATGAGTCGTAGGCAATATTGATGAACATATTGTCACCGTTCAAGTCATCTCTCAAAGTATTAACAACTTTTCCCTTATTGATGACAACAATACCATCTTTTTGAACGGTGTAGACATTTCCATTATTCATCTTGTCGACACACATATCACTAATTCGTAATTGATCTTGTATTTCCCACAAAATTCTTTTACCATTTTTAGATAATTTAACAACATCAAAAGAAGATCCTCTTTCAATACAATAAACAAGAGTATCATCAGAAGGATCATAACATAAATTTCTTGGATATCTCTCTTGAGGTTCATTAAAATGTTGTACCAATTCACCCGATTTCAAATTAAACTCAAATATGGAATCACGATCAGTGACGAATAAAGATTGTTGAGCGATTACACAACTGCTTGGCTGATAAAACTTGAATTCACTCAATTTAAAAGTAGGATTGATTTTCAAATCACAAATAGGTCCAAAGGAAAGCGATTGCATATTGTGAGATTTATACTTGGTAACTTGTTTGTGAATATTTGCATGTAATTCACATAAATATTCATGTGAATCAACCTTACAATCAGCACATTGATGAGTAGCTACACAATGCTCATCATCATGCTGTAAACACCATTGACATTCTTTCAATACAGAGAGTTGTGAGGACATTTTTTGTTGTGTGGACAAATTGAATAAGCAAACAACACATTATTGAGAGGCTAAAAGATGACGCTGTTTAGCAGCGAGGTGATATATTTCAGTGATTACGACACATCCCAATAGGTTCATATTTAATGGTAGGTACTTTTCGAGCAAGCCTTAATTAGTATTTCCTTTTAGTGTTCATGGTATGTTCACCGACTATTTGTACATGTTGGGTCAAGGATTCGTGCGCTGTACTAATCAATAGTAAGATTACAGCTCTTTGTTATTGAACATTCACCCAAAACTCCTCACTTTCATTGTTGATAAAATCTCTCTAAGAGATATTTAGAAAAAATTAAGAATAATCAAATCAAATGATGATTCATTGTGATAAATGTTGGAAGGATGACGAAGAGGAAGTTCAAGCCACGCACCATTGTTCAGAATGTAACATGAATATGTGTGAGAACCATTTGGGATTACACAATAATTCCAACAAGACGAGATCACATACAAGCCATGTCAAGGAAATTTCATTTCTTCCACCAAAGGTTGAGATTTCCATCAAGTATTGTGATAAATGTTTGAAGGATGAAGAGGAAGAAGTGATTGCTACCCATTCATGTCCAACTTGCTCAATGAACTTTTGTGAAAATCACATCAATTTGCATAATAATTCAAACAAGACGAAATCACATGCTTCATCTGTTGTTGAGATTCCTGCTTTGAAAAATACTTGTGATTGTGCTAAATGTTTGAAGGAACATGGTGAGTCTATCGCTGCTGGATATTGGTGTGAGCAGTGTAAGGTTAATTTGTGTGAAAATCATTTCAAGTTACACAACAAGTCAACCAAGACTAGTTCTCATACTCATAAGGTGCTGACCACTGTAGCAAGAAATGTTCCGTTCAGTCTTGAATATGAAGATGAAAAGAAATTGGGTGAAAATGAAGATTTCAATTTTGAATTCACTGGTCCAAATGCTATTTGTTTGGATTCCAAACATGGAAAACTATTTGTTTCAGATCGTAGTACTATTTTTGAATTTGATACTAAAACTAAATTGATGGTCAACCATTTTAAAGAACCACAAGATAGAGATCACTATCATACATGCTATGATTTGAGAGATGATGCTCTTGTCTATGTAATTGACAGATGTTGTGCCTCAACTATTGTGAAAATTTCAAGAGATGGTAAAATGACCTATTGGGAGAATGATGAAGACATGGGAATCATTAGAAGCATGGCAGTTGATAAGCATGATGGCACTATTTACCTGTTACAAAGAGGCGGCATTGACTTTTTGTGTCCTGACACTGGAAAGGTCATTAAATCGTTAAGGGAAAACTTGCAAGGTCAAAATATATTTGGAAATACTGATTTTGCATCACTTGCATTGAATTCCAATAATGATTTGGTTTTACTTTCAGAATACGAAATGATTGTATGTAATAAGAAGGGAAAGATTCTCAAAAAGGTTGAATTGAAAACTCCATGTGGAAGAACTGGAAGATTAGTAATTGAAAACGAAACTGGTAGAATATTTACTACTCAATATGGAATTGTTTCAATGAATCAAGAAGGACAAGAATGGGTTGACTATAATAATGAATTCTTTGATGTTAGTACATCTGGAAAGGGAATTGATATTGCTTTGGATTGTGAAAATGGTGAATTGTATTGCTCATCCAGATCTAAAACTTGTGTTCTTTCTTTTAAATAAATGACAAGTTAAAACATATCACCAAAGATATCTATGTTTTCATCTATTCCGTATTCAGAAAGCTCTATACCATATGGAACTGATTGATGATTATCATGTGGTGTAGATGGTGCAACATTGATATCCTCTTCTTGCAAATTATCAATAATACCCTTCAATGAATGATTCTTTAAATACTTGGCCACCAGTGAAGCATACGCAGAGGGTATCTCAATATTTGAAGCTTGAACAATTTTCAAAATTGAATCAGATTGAATTGGCAAATTTTCCTCATGCAATATCATACAAGCATAAATGCATGCCATTAGTATGGAGCTCTCATCAAGATCCTTCCTTGATTGTTGAGTATTAGAGAGAGGACATTCATGAGAGGCAATTCCATAAACCATTGAATATTGCTGATTGGCTAATGTTAAAATTCTATTCTTCATCTTACTTTCAAATGCTAAACATTTCTTATTCCATCCAACATTATTGGTTGATGCCTCCGAATCAGTAGTAATAAATGATGAATGTTCTTCCTCTGTTGTTAATACATGTTTAATAAATTCTTCAGATGATTGTCTCTTCACCATTAGAAACAATTCATGAAATTGATTATATTTCTCTTGATTGGATAATTCTCCTCTTTTAATTTTGTAATATCTTTCAAGAAATGATGAACAATAATCCACTCCATTTCCGAATTTGTTATTAATCATGAAATGATCTTTAATAAATCTCAAATATTCGTCCACTAATTTTTCATAATATTCAACCACTTGTTCACTTCCGGTTTGTTGAAGATGATTTTCATGAGAAATGATCACATTGATCAATTCCTTCTCGAGTTGAATAATTTGAATGAGAGAATCCCACAATGTTGGGTCTGACATTTTTTTTAAAATTCATAAAAAATGTTTTTGGAAAACGGAAACTAAAGATTGCATTCAATTCTGATATTAACTTCATTTTCAGTTTTTATTCTGAGTATTTCATTGATAATTACAAAAGAATGAAAGAAGCAATGATAGCCAAACCAATCATCAATGCAGATCCAACAACATGTTCTCCACCATTACACAAATCAGTATTACAACAATAAACCTTTTGGAATGTGGTAATTGATAACCAATTGTCACATGTTGCCTTGTCAGTATATGTGAAAACCTTTTGAGTAACAAATGAAACACTTTGTTCATAACGAGCACAGACATAATTGGTTAGAGTTGAGTTACTAACTTCAATAATTGTTGTAATGGTACCAGTGCCTGTTTGTTGAATGCCACTGTAACATTTCAATGCAGTTGTGGCAATTGCTAGGGATACCAAGATGGTGAGAGTAAGAAGAAGGGCAGATTTCATGATTTCGGTTGTGTGAATTTTTTTTTTTGATTAATGAAATTCTCTGTTTGACAGTGAAATTTAAAGCTCTTTAAGCTTCCACTATTTATCAATTTGTTTTTGTAAAGTTGAATTTCAACCAATGGTTGAAGAGGTGTGGATGGACAACCTTCCATGCGCTCTTTTCCAAATCCATTAGTTGGTTGACCGCAGAATTAAGATAAAATTCCATCTGGTTATAACGAGTTCAAGGCATCTATTTGGTTGATGGTTTACTGACTAAGTGTATTTAAAGAATTTTGATAAACTTTACAAATGTTCTGAATCCAAGTACAGCGTAGTGCATTCGAATATACTTTCGAATACAAGTCCTTTCGATTTAAACATTTTGGCAAAATAGAAGATAAACGATATTTGCAATGTACTTTGACTGATCTGACAAGGGCAACAAGCTTTCTTTCGCTTCTCTTAATTCTCCAATTTTCAGTTACTTTCTCGCCCTTTCCAATAACTTTCATCCAAAACATGAAGTGTGAAAACTCTCTTTCCTATTAACAATAGCATGACCACGTCCACTCTCAACCAAGCTCAGCTCAACCAAGAAGGTCACATTAGAATCGTATCTTTGGTGCGAGATAGAAATCCATGTGAAGTTTTAAGGCTCTTCGTTTTCAAGGTGTCGAAAGTTTTCGTTTCTTTTTTTTTAAGGATTTTATTAAGGATGAAAGTGAATGAATATTATATTTAAAAATTAGTTCCAAGTTGATTGAAAGTTATTGATTTCTTATTTTGAAAACCTCAATTTCAACAACTCTGAACTCGTAACTTCCAGCCAAATAAGAATGAGCTTCGAATGAGTCAGTTTTAAATCCATCAGGTAATTCATAATTACATCCAAACTTGGAAAAAGAATGGCTATTTAAATTACAATCGTCCTTGATACAAATATCACAACCATACGCTCCAAATGAAGACAAGTAATTATTATCTAAATAAATTGCATGTTTTTGCTTGTTTTTTAAAATGTCAAACTTTTGAAATTGATAATTTTCATTCTCAGGAATAATTTTGAAAATAAATGCAGAATTGTCCTTTCCAAATGCGTAATCATTAGTTGGAGATTTCCAATTTTGGGTTGTGAAACCACCAAATAATTCATCATGTTCAGATTTGATAATTACCAATGTTGGACCAGCATTGTCACATTTTGAATGAAAATTCTTTGCTTTAAAGCCATCTATGGTACCTCGGTATAGCAATTTAGGAATTGATTTACTTTTACAACTTGTAAATAATTTAGAATAAATAAATGAATTTGGAATGAGAGTTGAATTACAAAATTGAAAAGTACCTTCAGAATCACATTCACAATGACCTATAAAATTATAACAATTAATCAATTCAACATTTTTAAATGTAAAACCTTTCAAATTTTGATTTTTAAAATCAACTTTTTCAAAAGTACTGTTTTCAATTTGTTTTTCGGAAAAGTTTTCAAAACTAAATGAACAACTTTCGAATATACATCCATTAAATTGTGATAGACTTTTTAAACGTGTCAAATTTAAATCTTTAAATCTACATCCATTAAAAGTATTATTATTTTTCAATGACAAGTTGGTCTTTGAGAAATCTCTAGTAAAGCATGTGCTATTCAAAACGCAATCAATAAATTCACATTTATCAATTGTACAATAATCTCTACTTTTAAATTTCAAATAGCACTTAACAAATTTAGCATTTGTAAAATTACACAAGTACATTCCTTTTAAAGTTAAATTTTGAAATTCACAATTTGAAAAATTTAAATAGGATAATTTTCTATTTTCTAAAATATTAACAATAGTTGACAGTTTGAATAATTTACAAGCATTTTTCAATTCACCTGATAGTTCATTATTTTTCACAATACCATATTGTAACCAATCAAGGACACTTTTAAATACGATTGGATCACAATCAATAAAATAAATTGGCTCACTCGATGATTGACAATTAGTTCTATAGATGGGTTGCTCACCAGAAAACATTTTCATAAAAAAATTGTCTTCCAATTCTCTTTTACATGAATAGAATGTACTCAACGAAACTGTCATGATTGTACCTCTCAAATTTAAATGAATTGGTTGATGATTGTTCATGAGTACCGTCTTGTCTGTTGTTGTTGTTAGTGGTAGCTCGACAACTTGTGTTTTTACTTCATGTTGTTGTTGCTCTTCTGGTGTTAATTCAAGTTCATTGCTTCGTGCAATATCTGCTTTATGATGCAAGTCGTCAACATGTTGTTCGTTTAGTGTGTCAACGTGTTGCATACTGATGTGTTGTGAATTTTTTTAACAAGTAAAAAGTCAGAACGTAACTTGTTTTGGTTGCAAAGGTTGACCAACCTCGATAAAATTACAACAAAAATTTTGATCTTTTTTATTGTTCAAGTTGGCCATTCAGTGCCTCTTGTATCAATCTTGAGCAATAATGGAAGATGTCCAGTAATTTGTTAGATTTTGTCTGGATTGTCCAAATTCCTTGACAACAAAGTGAGTGCAAAAATGAAAATTTTCATGTCGCAAGAAGAGTCAATAAATTTTCTATTTTTAAATTCAAGATTCCAAAAACACTTCCGAAAAAATACATCAACAAATGCCAGCTACAACAACAGACTTTGTCCAATTGAAAACTTGGTTGGAGGGTGGAAAGAAGGCTAATATCATCAAGGCCCTCGAGACACTTCAGGCTTACTTGATTCAACAAGGTGATGCTAGAGCAGCTAGAGAAAGAGTGCAAACATTAACAACAAATATTCCGATTCAAAGCTTTTTGCCATGTTTTGACACAAAATCACTTGAACAGTTACAATTGATAGTATTTGTTTTTGGGAAAATTATGGAAGAAACCGATGTTAATCAAGCTTTGTTGGTTGATCCGATTGTTGGACAATTTCTTGCACAGGGATACAAGCATCCATTCGAAATTGTTAGACGATTGACCATTAATCAAGTTGCTAGATGTACTTTACAAACATTGATGGCTAATCCTGAATTGTTTTTGGATATTTTGTATAGTGGAATGTTGGATCCTGAAATTTCTGTGGAAAAAGTTGCTGTAAAAATCATCACAAACATTGCGTCGACATTGGATGGCATAGATGCAATTTTCTACAAGCACAAAGCTTTATTGGTTGATAAATTATTGGGTGAATTGCCAAAATCTGGAAATGAAATTAATAGATTTAGAGTGTATGAATTAATGACAACTTTATGTGGACTGTCCCAAGAAGCTTTCGATGCTGTTTCTAATATTGGTCTTTTCAAATTGTTCAATAACGATTTTAAGAATTCAAAGGATGATATTTTGTCAATTTTAAACTTTTTGGAAATTTTCAAAGCCCTTTGCCTTCAAAGCTTCAAGAAACAAGGAGCCAATTCTTTGAAAGAAGAGGGATCATTTGATTTATTAATGGCTATTCTCAATGACAACCAAGAGGATCAACTCACCTATACATTTATTCTCAATTTGATTGCTGATATTTCAGATGCTGCAGAAAATTTATTCTTTGGAGAAGAATCCAAATTGTCAGTGCCACCATCAATCATTTTGAAACTCTTTAATGAAGATCTTTCGAATACATTCAATAAGGAATCTCAAATAGTAGCCATTTCAGTAATTGGCGCTTTGTGTAAATCATCGGTAAAGAATTTGGACTTTATTCTCCTTGGAGATGAGGAAAAACTTTCAAAATATCTGGTTTTCTATGCCGATTCCATCAACGACCAAATTGCTCAAGCATTCTACCACTCACTAGGCTCTATCCTCGAATCACCTAGAATTGACGATGAGAGAGCTGAAAAGATTGTCAACGTACTCGAGTCCATGTTAAAGAAGAGAATTGAACCAAGTATCACAAAACCTTCTAACAGTTACATTATGAACTATGCCATGTATAATTTGAGAGCTCCATTCTCTGATGTGAGATGTGCCATCTATCACTTTTTGAAAGGCTTGTGCTCAAGAATCAATCTTGTGAAGAATCATGTTAATGCACATAGCGAATTCTTTGATTACATTATCGATAGAAATACAGAACCTAATAAGGAGACCAAAGAATGGAAATTTAATACCATTGAAGTTTTACACAAGACAATTCAAACTCATCCACATGCTTCAGGAGTTGATGCTAAACATATCATTAATCTCAAGACTTATCTGTTGAGAGGTGCCTACATCGGTGATAAGAAAGAGGTTCAAGCAATTGTTGCCACTGAATCCTTTGAATAAAATTTATATTTGTAAATGTAAAAAATGTAAAAATATAACAATCTACCATTTTTAGAAAATATGTTATTTTTGTAGGGTAACAAATATGGTAATATACGTAATCTGCAATTATGTTCATTCCATATATACAGCACAATTCCATAGCTGCTCATCTTTTAAAACCCAAAGCAAAGAATCTTCAGTTGATCAAATGCCAAAAAAAAGATTTATGCAACTTAAAAAACTGCTTCGTCGATCCTTCCTCTATTGCATTCCAAATAACAGCAACAGAATGGAGGAACAAGATGATCAACAAACTCCCCACAATTCTGCTTCTGATAATCATCAAACAAGTGTTACCAGAACAAACAGTAGTACCTCCTTTATGATGGATCAAATTAGTGATGAAACAACTCAATCGTTAATTGAGGAAATTTCATCAAAATCATTTAGAGCCTCTCCAACTTCGTATTATCATCAAAGCTTTCTGAATCAGCAGCTTCAGTACAACAACAATTCAATGAGTCAGAATTATAGTGGAAATAGTCAGGATTACTTTCCAAGTGATTCAGTTTCTACTAATCAAAATTCTGAAAGGAGTCAAGCATCATCAATGAGACAGCAACATCATAATCAACAAAACAACATACCAATTAATTCTAAACATTTCAATGTGCAATGTTATAGAGGTAATTTGAGTCAAGAAGAGTCAATTCAAGCACAAACTTCACAACAACCATTATTACATCCCAAATCGATAACAATCGAATGGGTCTTTGACGATTGTATTACACAGAGGTATATACACAAGAGATTGAAGAAGTGTTTAAGTGGGAAACAATTTTCTGATGTAGAGTTTCGTTTCTCCAATGACTATTCGATTGATGAAGAAATTCCAAAGAAAACATCCACGACTCTTACCATCTCAGAGAATGCTTGCTTCCTCATTCCATCCATTGCATGTAAGATTGATGAGGGAAAGATCCAAACCATAGAGTTACAAATTCCTTTTTGTTTTCATTTTGCCATCGATTATCCAGAGGACATTCCTTCACTCGTAACAAGTTACAATCAAAAAGTTACAATGGAAGGTTGTGTCGTATTCTCATCCCAGGTATTTGTTCAGATCTTTGAGTGGTGTGAACATTATTCCACTAATAAGGAGTTTATTCAGATTGATTTAGAGGGAAAGGGAATGATGTTTTGTTGTAATAGTGAATCGTATTTCAAATCAGTGATTGGTGAATGGAATTGGGACTTTTTACAATCAATGGATAAGAATTTATTGTTGCAAACATTGATCATGTCTCATATTCTATCAATTACACCACTTTTGCTTATGATTAAGACCAAGATTATGTTTGATGTTAGACAAAAATGTAAAGAAGCTGCCTCTTATCAACCTTCACATGCAACCACCAAGTAAGTATTTCACCAGCCTCAAATTTAACATTTTGCAGAATTCAATTTTTAAACTATTTTGTCCAAGATCCATCCAAATGCCAATCCCTTATCAACTCACCAACTATTCACTCATCACCAATTCCACACAGAAGACATGCCAGATCCAGTAGCTATGATAAGATTAGAGGATTGACCAGTAGCAGCAGCAACAGCAGCAAAAGAAACTCACCAGCTCTTGCCTCTTCCTCAGCAGCTGCTCTACTAACCTCCACCACATCTGTACCTTCTTCTTCGTCTACCTCTTCATCAAATGGTCAAAAAAGTTCAATGATTGAAGATAAGGTTTTGGCCACACTTGGTGACTCTGAAAAAGGACTAATTCATTTTATGAGAATTAGATAGAAAATTATTTAGTGAATATTACTTACTAGGCGAACTGTAAATAAATACCCTTCTCTGTTTTAAACAGTTTTTAATTTCATGATCCGATATAATAAATTTGATGATGAAATAATATAATTGAACAATTAAATTTACGATGTCGTTGTTGTTTGCTTGGCACAAATAGCCACTACAAAAAAAGCGGGAAACTTTTTAAAAAACACTAAAAAAAATTGGCAATACAACACGCTCGTTGTAGCTCTCAGTAACATTAATTATACATTGTGCTCAAAATGGATATTGTAACAGTATACAAAAAGCTGAGGAAACAATTTGGTAGATATAGTGGTCATTTTGTGGATACTGAACCCGAAATGATCGTTGATATCAAACCAAGTGAGGAATTTAAGCAAAAATATATTAATAGGGAACCCAGAAGTGTAGGAGCTCAAGCTGTTGCCGAATTTTCTGAACACTTTACTAATACGGAGACCCATGAAACAAAAGAACAAGGAATGATGCACAATGAAGGAGGTTGGCCAAAGGATGTCGATACATCAAAATTATCAAGCAAGGAAAGATACATCAAGAAAATTGAAAATAATATTGAAGATTTGAATTCGTTCATCTCTTTAAGAGATAACGCTGAATATTACATTCAACAAAATAATGCGATCAATATATTTGGTAGCTACTTTAAGGAAACTGTACAAGACTTTGGAAGTGAAAGATCTATGGTTAAAACTGTGTCGGTGTTCAAAGATCCTTGCCAAGATAAGAGAACAGCAACCAAAATCTCTTGGCTTCCTAGTGATGGTTCAAAGCTGGCAGTAGCTTATGCCAACCTAGATTTTCAAAGTTCAACAAAGAAAATACCGACAAATGCATACGTTTGGGATGTGAATAATGCCAATGAACCAGACGTGACTTTACTTCCATCATCTCATTTAACATCTATCAGATATAACCCTAAGGAAAACTCTACAGTGGCAGGAGGTTGCTACAATGGTGTTGTTTGTATATTTGACACAAGAAAAGGAGGTGAGGAAGTTCTCATTTCCGACCTTAAAACAAGTCACAGAGATCCAATTTATGATATTCAATGGCTTCAAAGTAAGAGTGCAACATTCTTTATTTCAACTTCAACTGATGGTCAAGTACTAACTTGGGATACAAGAAACCTTTCAAATCCAGTCGATTCTGAAACTCTTGAGCTTAGAATTCCTGATGATAAAAATGGTGAATGCAAACTCCAAGGTTTATTGGGAGGTGAATCTATTGATTACGATGTTTCTTACAGTGTAAGTTGAACTAAATTATTTCAGTAATTTTAACACTACACAGCCAACCAAATTTATGATTGGTACTGAACAAGGTGCTGTTTTGAGTTGTACGAGAAGAAAGAATAAGGGTACGGCCATTGATAAAGTTTACTATGGACATCATCATCACCATGGTCCAATTTATTCAATTCAAAGAAATCCATTCCTTCAAAAATACTTTATGACTGTTGGTGATTGGACACACTTGATGTTTGGGATTATCTCTACAAGCAAAGCAAACCATTGTTGTCTCTAAGATTGTCAGATCAAGGACTTCACACTTTGAGTGTTTATGGAAAATATATTGCTGTTGGTGGAAGAGATGGTTCAACTAGGCTTTTGGAAGTGAGTGAAGGATTGAGAGGAGAAGAAAAACAACAAGTTTTGGAAGAAAAGGAATTTATTAACAATATGTTGGAAAGAGAAACTAAGAGAGAACGAGCACTTATTGATAATAGAAAAGAATCTGAACAAGCACAAAGAAGAATTGAAGCAAAGAAGAAACAAAGAGAGCAATCATCAAAAACTTTCACACTGGTAATTAACGAAAGTGAATTGCAAGAAGATGAGGACATGTTTTTACAGGCCATTAAGAAAAAGTAAATAAATATTTAATTGTATAGATAAACCTATTTAAATATCTAGTAATTGAGGAATTGTACAGTTTGCAGTAATGTAGGTCAACAACTTGAGAAGAGTATTATCAGATCCTTCTTCAGGAACTTCTTGCCTTTGTGATTCTCCAATTATCTTCGTTGCTACTTCAGATGTGAGCTTTTGATCACCAAATTTCAATTCCATATTAGCTCCATATTGAATAGGCAAATCAATAAAATCATCACCAATGTAAACTCTAACCAAAAGAGTAATAACATAGACTGAATTCAATGTCTTTTTTTCGATAATTTTTCCAGAACTAAAGACTGGAAGTAATGCAGAAAGAGATGTTGGTAATTTAACTTCTGCCAGACCAAAAGACTCATCATATGTACGTCTTTGAGCATTACGCACTGGATATGGATTAAAGAAAACGAGATCTATCTTATCCTTCAACAAGTACCATGCTTGAACAACATGCTTGAATAATGGATTTGGGAAGAATAAAATCAAAAGGAATGAATGAGAGAAGAAATTGCCTGATAGAGATACTCCAGCCTCTAAAGCTGAATTAAGGTAATACTTTGTGAAAGCTTCTTTCAAAAATTCTTCTTCATCTTTAGTCAAGATACTGTTCTTCCTAGGAACAATCTTTGTCAACTTCAATTCATAATTGTTGAACTCACAGCTATATTCATATGTTGGAGAGGAGAATGAAAGGGTGTTGTCTTGTTGTTTGATATTTTCAGCGCTTAAAGCAATTTGAAGGGGTGGTGACATATTTTCTAGAAGTGTAGAAGAGGTACAACATCTCTTTAAAGATAATACAGCATTATCTATTTCCTCACCAAATGGTGCTGATATCACATGGAAACTATCATCTGTGGCTTTGAATTCAACTTGACCAGATGCTCTACATGTCACTAAGAATTCCCTAGTTGTTTTTCCCTTGTGTACAACTTTGAAACTGTACATACTTCTAGGTATCAAATACCATGAAGTTGGATGACGATCAGACAAGAATTGTTTTAGCTTGTTGAGAGGAACAGTTGACTTCAAAAGAAGTTGAACTAGCTTGCACATAACCTCGCCATATGTATCATTTCTAGAGTGTTTGTTAAAATATTCTTCTAGATCTGCTTCAAATCTATTTGTTGGATATAAAATAACTCTATATCTCTTATCTACATTCTTGATTATTAATTTATATCCACAATTTCCGTAATCAATTCTAATCTTGGTATGTGATACCATTTCTACAGTACAAGCTTGTTGAAGAATACCAGCAAAGTGAGGACTTGGATGGATAACTTGGAGTGCCAAAGGATACATTCTGTCAATAGATAGCAAATCTTGATAAAATTCTTCAAAAAGGTTTTGACAATTTCTCATTGTAGTATACTTGAAAGTGAGTCTGTCGTTTACGTAGTGTTGTTTGCTATTTTGAGGAATTATAACTGGAAGAGGTCTTCTTTCATATACAGTAGCGACCCATTCATAAGTATTCACATCAATCGAAAGTGTAATGCATTCCAAGTCAAGGAAGGAGAAATTAGAGTTATCATTTGGAAGGATAATCATTTCATATTCTTGGTCAGTAAGATCATATGAGAATCTATTTGAGATTTGAACTTGTCTCAACATAGTTCCAAAGAGTACTTTATGCTTTGATGCAGCAATAATTTGTTTCAAATGTCTGAAAGCAACCAATGTTTTCTGAAGTGCAGTCATGCATGTCATTCTCTTAACTCTCTTTTGTGTTGGCTCATAGCTATCAATTTCTTCCTCAGGGGCAGGTTGATAAATATCCAAAAATAGTGATGAAGGAATAGGGATATCAATAATCTTTGGACTTCTTTCAATTACCACTCTAGAAGAAACCAAAGGTTTTCTTCTTTCGTAAGAAAATGGAGTGACTCTAATTTGGATAAATGCTGTACTGACATTTGGGAATGAGAAATAAACATTTTCATCCGAAAGACCATCTCCTTCGAATAGAGCTGAATGAACATCCAAATCGAGAAGAGCACCTGCTGTTTTGTAAGCATGAATAATTGTTCTCTTTCTAGCACCCTCCAGAGAGGAAAGAAGTTGTTCCGAGAATTTGGACTTTCTCACGTCAATATTATTAATCCGTGTAACAAACTCTGAATAGTCTACATCTAGCTTTTCTCCGTCAACTGAAAGATGGAGTTGGAAGTGACCTGTTTTCCAGTCAATACCTAGAATGAGAATATATTCCTCGAATACTGAAATAGACAAGTAAGCTTGATTAGACTCAGCATCTGTTATCAATTGGATATCAGGGAACAATCTTTCTCTATTTAAGAAAACTTTTACACTTTCCAGTCTTTCAATAGAATGATAAAAAATACAATCACTAATAATCTTTCCGAGATTAATTCTTGATAGGTTAATAGCTGGAGTATAATTGCATCTAAGCTTTGGTTGCATGTCAAAGACAATTTGTTTTGATTTGTCTATGAAAATTTTAAGTTCATTCCTAGATCCTTTATCTTTGAGGAAGAAGTTCTTTTCATCATCCTCAATACCATCCATAACTTTCTCGATAAATGACACCATAGGAGGTGCTTTGTGCCAATATTTAAGTGATAATGAAAAATCTTGATCTACGCTCTCATTAAATGTTTCACAAGTAACAATTTCATTTGGCCACTTCAATGTTTTTGCTTGTTTTGTAATAATATCCATAGCAATCCTAATAGTTACCAAATGGATGATATTATAAATATCAACCATGGAAGGCACCATAGTATCTGATTCATCAAGATAATATAATCTTTTTTGTATCACAGTGCTGAGCCTTTGAACAATATCATCATGAATTGGGCTCACATTGATTCCGTCCTCATTAACCAATAAATCCAAATAAATTATTTGCCAATAATATTTAAGCTCGTCAGTGTTAGATTCACCCTCCTCACGTTTATGATTTAATGTCATAATTATAGAAAATTCATTTTCAGCTATCAAATTGACTTGACCATTTTCAAGCTTATTTACAAACATGTTTGGAGGAATGGTGCATTGAAGTAATTTCATTCTGATAATATCTGTAAGCTTTGAAATAGCACGTTCCTTATCTTGAGTAGTAAAATCATCTGCAGAATTTTGCAAATCTCCACGTGACTAGAATAATCGATTAATTAATGTAAGAAATTAATACCAACCTGTTGTATGATATGCGGAAGTCTTGGATATGTTCCTGTTGTCAAAACATCAATTGCTGTTGGAAGATCAAAAACAGGTTCTCTTAATCTTGACAAAATCCTTGCAGCATGAAAAAGTGTAAATGATGCCATATCAAAAGAATTAACTTTTAAATCCATAGCTGATGATACTTGATTAAATTTGTCGAGAGTCTTCTTGGATTTCTTTGACCATCTCAAAAGAACAAGCAATCGGATAAATCTTTCTCTTGTTTCCTGAAAATGTTGAAATAAAATTTGTTTCCTCGTAGAAGCCTCCCTCTCAAATTGATCATTAGAATTATCCATTCCTTTTTTAATTTCCAACACACATTTTTTCAACTCATCGTGTGATTGTTTTACCAAATGATGTATGAGCGTGAGAAATGAAAATGTTGGTTGAGGCTCCATTTTTTTTTAATGTATTTTTCCATCATGATGAAGAAAGCTTGCTGGTAAGAGAAAATTCCTTTAAAATTGCCATCATAGGCGGATATCAATACAACATGCTACTAATAAAAATTTTAAATCTAATATTAACTTAGTGCTCGTAGTAGTTGAATACAATTTTATCTTCACTTGTTTCACTTCCTTGTGCGAGAGAACGTGTAGCAAAAGATGTTGGAGATTTTGATCGTCATCATATCAAGTTGGCGCTTCTTCTAAAATCTTGCAAAAAAATTTTAACGTCATCACTTGATTATTGTCCAACAAACCACATATTTTGTGGATAGTGTAGTAGAACCGTTTATACAAGAAAGTTATCATCAAACCCTCTGGGAGTGATTGATTATATTTTATAATATATTGGAGAGTGTTTATTAGACGAAATCTTCTTGGTATATTTAAATTAATTAATTGGAAATATATACCTCCCTAAAAACAACAACAAGAAAACGGTTTTGCAAAAGAACCTTTGTGTGTGTTGTGTCAGGATCATCGTCAAATATTTCACCATACATTCTATTACGTAATTTTCAAGAATACCAAAAAACCCCAACAGATAGATTTAACAATGTTGCACAAACTGAAGGATAAGGAGGTTAGGAAGAGAAAACAAGATGAAATCAACCAAGGAAGTCCAAAGTTGAATGGAAGTCATCTTCATATCAATACTACTAATCTTCAATCAATACCAGATACACCAAGTCCTGCAGTTGGATCTTTTACCCCTACACAAGCCACACCTTCCTCTATTTCCACAACAACTTCTTTCCCATCTACCCCAACTAAAATTGAACCATCCCAACAATCACAATCATCTGAACCTCTTTCTCCACCAACTAAGAAGACTAAATTTAACGCTTCAGAAGTGGTATGTAGATTGATTTTAATTAATTATTGAATGACCATTTCAGCATGACCTGAAACTTGTCAATGAGCAAAAGAAGAGATTATTACTCAAAAATAAGGAGTTAAACATGTTAAATCAACAGCTTATTAATGAAGCTAAAGAAGCATCCAAACAAAGAGATAATACTTCTTCGAATATGATGAGACTTGTTAGACAATTTAATCATGTATGTTTCATTTCAAATACATTTCCTATAATAACCTTGTTAGATGATAGAAGACATTTCAATACAGTTATCAAGATTACCTTCAGTTCCAAATGGAGTGGTAGGTTTGGATTTTATTAGCAAAGTTTACAATGGCAAAACAGATGATGACTCAATTAACCAACTGTTCGAAAGGTTGAAGAGTATACTTTCAAAAATCATACAATCAGTTAACAGCGTAAAAGATGGGAAAACGAGTAGTAATGAGAAACAATTGGAAGAGAAACTCAAAGCTTTAAATATTGAATATAGAGAGATAAAGGATGAATACAATTCTCTTCATGAACAACTTAAAGACTCAAACAAAAAATTAGAGGAATTAAAACAAAAGTTAGATGAGAAACAGGAGGAATATGTAGACACATACAAAAAAGTTGAAAGAATTTCTTTAGAAAATGAAGAATTACGTTCAGCATCTCCTTGTTCTACACCATTATCACCTTTCCGTACGCCAACACGAGTTTTTTCTTCATCAGCTCTTGACAGCTTACCTGCAAATGCCCAAGTAGATGATGTCAGACAAGCTCTTTTAAAAAGAGAAGAAGAGTTACAAGAATATGCTCAAAAATATTCTAAAGAATATGGCATTAATGAACGACACAAAGTCAAAATAGAGGAATTAGAGTTAAAGATCAAAAACGTTACTGCTGAAGTAGATTACTATAAGGATCATGTTCAAAAGGAAAAATTAAGAGTTGAACAATTTTACAATCAATACAATCAGGAAGTTGAAAAGAATAAGGCAAATATCAAGGCTCTTGAAGAAACTTATAATACTTTTAAGGAAAAGATTAAACAAGATATACTTGAAATGAAGAAGGAAAACAAGAATCTCAAAGATAATCTTGAAAAGGTGACAAAGGAAAAGTCTGAGCACCACCTTGTCAAACAGAATGAACAATTGCTTCAAAAGAAAAAAGAGCAAACAGAAAAGTACAACAAACTTGTTGCTAGGTATGAAAGAGCTAAAGCATCTGCTGAAGAATTGCGAGTTTACAAGCAAGATAAGGAAGAGATTGTTAGACAATTAAATATGTACAAGAAGAGAAATGAAGAGCTGTCAAAATTAGCAGCCGATCATAAGGAGTCTAAAGAATCTTCTTCTCAACCTAAGGAGCCAGAAACGGAAATTTCTTTACTCAAGGCAGAAATTATCAAATGGAAGGAACAAAGTGAAATGTTTGAAAGTTCTCTCAATGATACAACGCAATGTTATGAAAAATTACTCCAAGAAAAGGAGGACATTGCCAAAAGAGTTGATAGAGCAGAAGAACAAAGACTTGAGTCCATGAAAGAAAAGGCTAAATTAGAAAAGAATGTAGAATCAATGAAGGAAGAAATGAAAAGATTATCTGATGTTTGTACAGAACATGAGAAAATTAAGAAACAATATGATGAAAAAATAGTGACACTCAATAACGAAAAGACCATGTTATCAGAAATTGTTGAAAAGGGAAAGCTTGAAGAAACTCAATACAAGAGAATAATTGATCACCAAAGACAAGTTTTGGAAAATTCCAAACAATCAGTGCAATCACTTTCTACAGAACTGGAACAATCCAAAGCTAAAAATAATCAACTTTTACAGGACCTTGAAAAGAAGGAGACAGAATGTCACAAGCAAACTCTTTCCATCAAAAAGCTGGAATCGGAGAAGCAACGTTTCTTAGAAAAGGAAAAGACACTTACCGCAAGTAGCAGCACTGACACTTCTTTCAGATGTTCTCAATGTAATGAGAACGATATTGATACAGTGATCAGTAGATGCTTCCACTGTTTTTGTAAGACTTGTCTGGATAAGAATATCAAAATAAGAAACAGAAAATGTCCTAGGTGCGGTATGAGATATGATCCAAATGATGTGAAAACATTATATTTCTAATAACAAAAATCAGTTATTTATGCTTTTTTATTTTACAACATCCTTAGCTTATTGTTGCCAATTTTGTTGTTCCTTATTCTTTGAGTTCTTTGACTTTCTCATTGAATTCATGTCAATTATTCCAATAATTCATTCTAATTGAGTGGTGTACCTTTGGGAAATTAGTATTTTCTCTTGTATTGAGGCTTTCCAGACTTCTTAGGATTGTTTCCCTTTGGTTTGTTTGGATCATTATTTTGATTAGCTCCCTTCTTATTTTTCTTTTCAAGTAATTCCTTCAATAATGGTGAAATAATAGGTTCGTCAGTTTTCTTAGTATAACTTGATGAAGCTCCAACACCTCCAAGAGCAAGTGGAATATTTGTACCAAGTTTTTTGCTTGAAGTACTTCCATCAGAGCTTTCTCCGCCATCAAGACCAAGTCCACTTGTCGTAGAACTATTATCCAAACTAAGAGGTTGTAATGTGAGATCTTTAGGTTGCTTTAGTTGTTCCAAAAATCTTAAATAATGTTCATCCTTGAAAATTGTTCCATCTCTTGGATCTTTCTTCTTTGGCTTTGGAACCATTTGTAGAGGACAATATTCAATAGTCATTGGTGTTTCTCTCCATATTGAGGTATTAGTAGCTGCCAATGTAGGTACTGGACTTTCATCAACATCATCATCCGTGATTTGAACAGAGGAAGAAAGAGCAACTGATTGCTTGCTCTTCAACTCCTCATAAAATTCATTTTTGAACTGATGCAACAAGGAAACACTTGCAAAATTCAAATAAGCAATACTTGAAAATACCTGAGTCATGGTCTTGTGTCCAACATGAAAGTCGGACCATGTGATCTTTTTAGGATCATAGATAAAGTGTGGAATTTCTGGTAGGGTTGGAGTGCTAGGTTCCGAAGTTGGTGTGGCACTAGCTACAACAGGAGGTTGTTGCTGCTTTACTTGCTCTGTAACAAAACTCTTTGGAGCACATTTCACAATAAAATCCTGCTCTGTAAAATTATAGGGAATATTTCTAATAATTACTTTTGTCTTGTTCTTCAAAAGACTTCCATAATGTTGTTCATTATTATTATTATTAGTATTACTATTTCCGACATTATTTCCTTGATTATTTTGTTGATTATTATTTCCTTGATTAGCCTTTTGATGTTGTTTCTTTGGGTGATTCTTTTTAGGGTGTGGTTGTTTTTCAGCTACTAGTACAGGAGGAACTGGTTGTGGTGTTGGGACAGGTTGAGGTTGTGTAAGGGGTACAAAGTTTTGGGGAGTAAATGGAGTGGCATTGTGTTTGAGTGTTGAAGTAATCTTTAGAGTTGAAGATGGTGATGTGCTGGCAGGATTATTTGGTTGGGTTGAAGATGATTGATCACTTCCTGAGGTAACATTCGGAGTTGTTGTATTACTTGTTGGAGTATTATTGTTTGTTGTTGCTGTATTGGGAGATGATGGTTGTTGTTGTTGGTTATTATTGACCACTGTCTTTTTGACCCACAATTGTTTTCCACTCATTTTTTTATTTAAATTAATGTTATTTAATTATTATTATTAAATATTAAAATTGGAAAGTAGTAAAGTACACGGAATATAATGATTTACAGTTTTTGATAGTGAGTAATACCAATCTTCTTTTTGAGTTGAGTTTCTCTACGAGATCTATCAACTTCCTCCATGATATTGTTTGCCTTATCCAAAGCTTTCAGGAATTGAATGGTGGTCGGTTGTTCTTTAGCTTGATCCTTCTTGACCTTGTTACCCTTCTTTGATCTGCTGGAATGGTAAACTACATATTCATTCTGATTTTGTCCATACAGATTATCAACAAGATTAATCAAACGATCCAAATAGTCATTGGTTCTAGATTTGAGATTTTCAAAGTCTTCTCTTGTTTGAATATTTGTGATGAGATTATCTAATTCATCACCAAGGTTTTCACTATTTTGTTCTCCTTCAATTTCAGCCTTCTTTGTGAGAAAATTGAAAGGGAGTATTTGTACATTAGGTGGAGGTAATTTAGTGTAGAGAGAAATTTGTTTTCCAATTCCTATTGTTCCATTATCATCTTCTTCATCTTCTTCAGAATCGTCAGAGTCTGTATTATTAGGTTTCTTTTGAGCTAAATTTGAATTAATATCAGGAGTAGTTTCAGGTAACAAAGATCCGAAATCATCATTAAGGGTACTTTTCATTATTTCCTCTCGGTCTTTCTTTCTCAATTCAATTCTATCTTTTATAGGGGTTGTATTTACATCAGAACTGGATTCAATTAAATCTCCAACAAATTCCAAGACATTAACCACATTCCTAGGAAGAAGAGGTGCCTTATCCTTAGAAAGATCTTTCACTGATGTAAGCCCTTGTCGAGATGCTGGTGATAATCGAACATTTTCCAAACTAACCGTTACATGAGAAAGTGGGGGTTTTTGAGAGACGGGTGAATTTAACATTTTTTTACAGTTGAATTTTACATTTTATTTTTTAACGACCTTAGTTTTGGACATGAGTTTCTCAGCCTTTTTCTTAACGTTAAGTCTACTGATGAGCTCAGCTTCCTTATCATCATCATCATCTTCGGATTCAGAATCTTGATTATCTTCATGATTGATCTTAATTCTAATATTATTCTTACTTTGATTGAAATCAAATGAATCGGTAGATTTCAAAGTTTCTTGGAATAGTTCTTCCTCTGATGGTAAACTTTCTAAAACAGCTGATAAATTGACATAACATTGTGCTAATAAATTTACAATATGTCGTTCTTCGTTACTTTGAGTTCCTAGTGAGACTGTAGACATGCTAACATTCTCATCCCTGGCTGATTCTGCATTAAGAGAAATATCTTCACCTCTGGCAATTTCTTCAATAAACTTCCTTGAAAGATTTTCTGCCATTGATAAATCAACAAGAGCTGGGGCCATCTTATCATTCAAGTGTTCTGTACCAGCTTTAACGTTGACCAGTATTTTGGCAATTCTTTCGAATTGTTGCTTTTGTCTTTCGTTCTTTGATTGGGCTTCTGATAATTGTTGAATGAATTCGTCGACAATTCTTCTGCTTCCCAAACCAGATGATTGAGAATATTTAAGATCTTCAAGTCTGGCTTTCAAAGCTGCTCTCTTTTCAGTGAGGTGTTCTATTCTCTTTTGAGATTCCTTTGTCATTTGTTCCAAATTCTTGTGTGTGTCCGAAGATGAAAGGAATTTCTGGATAACTTCATTTACATCATCTACACCAGTTACTTCCTTGATCTTTCTCCATTTTTCTTCTAAACCTTGAAGTCTATCTCTTTCTTCATCAACTTGGGTCTTATTTACACTGCTGTTTTGTTGAGATGCACTGGAGGATCTGAACTTCTTTGATCCTTCTTCATCTTGATTTCTTCTTCTATTTGCTTCCTTCTTTGCCAAGTCAGTTGTCAAGTTAACTCTAGCTTCAACATATTTCTTCTTTTCATCAAGTTCCTTTCTCATATCCCTAACAGATTCTTCGAATTCACCTTTTGCTGTTGTCAATTCATTTTTAGCAAGCTCTCTCAAATAATTAGCATCTCGGGACATGTTCAACAATTCAATATAGTCCTTATCCTTGGCTTTCAAAGTTCTTTCAATTGCTTGAAGTTGGTTATCGAACCCTATTCTTTCCTCCTTTAGTCTTTCCAAAATTTGTTCATATGTCTTTTTAATACTTTGAGCTTCATTGTACTTAATCATGGCCTTATCGAGTCTGTTTTCTAAAATTCTGATTTGTCTCGTCAAGGGCGAGTCATCAGTAAGGATTGGTGCCTTTTCCTTATTGAAATCACCCAACTTATCTTCCTTCTTTCGGATTGTTTTTTGCAAATTTCTAGCAATAGCTTGAAGCTCATCAAATTCTTGTCTTTTCAAATGAAGAATTGTTTCCAATCTTTCATATTCTTTTTCTTGGAATGATTTCTCTCCGTTATTTCCTCCTACTTCTTTTTGAAGCTTTTTTAACGTTTCCTTTAATTCATTGTTTTCCTTTTTAACCATCTCTAATGTATCGATATTCTTTTGCAAAGCTCTTTGTTTTGTTTCCATTGTTGCTTTTCTATCACGATCTCCATCCAGAAGGTTTAATTTATCCTGCATCTCCATGATGGCATCATTGTGACTGTACTTGTTGTTGCTCATTTTTTTAAATTGTTATTGGACAGTAATTTTTCTGTAGTAAATTTTGGCGGCACCTTCAACCATCAAACTTGAAAGGAGAGAAAATATTCATTTCATCAAACCACATTTATAAATGACTAGAAAATATTTTCTCTTCCAACCTTTGCAAATCTTTCTTTACAGACAAGCTGGGCTACTGTAGGGAGGTAGCTGTGATGGTTCTCTGAGCATGAGCTAACAGAGAGTGAAATCTGGGAGTCAGACTAATGTTTTTTAATTAAATTGTTTTTGAAAAATAAAAAGAAGGATTAGTTATTTGAAATACTTCATTTTAGGAAATAAATAACCAAGAGAACAGTTAGCTGAAAAAGAGAAATTAAAATATGAATCGCCCACCGTGGGGGTCGAACCCACGACCACAAGGTTAAGAGCCTTGCGCTCTACCGACTGAGCTAGACGGGCTATGCTACACAATCCTTAATTAACCTTAATGTACCATCAGCCGCCATTTCTTTGTTTATGTTTGAATAAAAAGGTTTGGCAATTATTGTAAGATGCATTTCCTTTTTTCTTTAGTTTCTCTCAAACTCAAATTTTTAAAGTGTGCCTTTAAGGCTATTTCTGTAAAATCTTTGATACCAATATTCATCAGTGAGCTTGTCTCAAAATAGGTGAAACAATTGGAAAGTTGTGCTGCCTTTTCGCCATCTTTGTAAGAGAACGGTCTGGTACAATATCTTTCAATCAGTTTTGCCTGAACATCAATATCACTTCTCAAATCTATCTTTGTAGCAACGAGAACAGTGGCAGCATCAGGAACATGGTGTCTCACTTCTGGTATCCAAACATCGAATAAATTTTTGAAAGAATACTCTTGAACACAACTAAACATTGCCATAAAGACATCTGTTTGAGGATATGCCAAAACTCTCAGCCTAGGATAATCATCTGAACTTGCTGTATCCCAGTAACATACTCTATAGACATTATTGTCGAGTTGATAATTATTCATATAATTGTCCACCACAGTAGGAACGTACTCGGTTGGATACTCTCCAGTGAGTAACCTTAGCATCAAACAAGTTTTTCCAACAGCTCCATCCCCTTATAATATGAATCAATAATTCTTAAACTAAACCTACCTAATGCAAGCAATTTAATACCTTCCTCTTTCTTTTTATATACAGCTGAGGATACATCGAATTTTAAGAGCTCATCCTTTGGCACAAAAATGTTCTTAATACCAGTAGTGGGATAGTTCTTGATCGATCTTTCTATATCTTCCATTCTCACTGAAGACTTTTTCTCTACTAGGGTATCAAACACTTTCAATGCACCACAAATACTTGATTTAAAATCTGATATCTTACCCAAAAAGGGCAGAATTGGATTTTCATAAATAGCCCCAGATTTTTTCAAAATTTCATGTAATTCAGTAACTTTTTTTTCATAAGCTTTCCTCCATATTTCTGAATCTTCGCCACACAATTGGCTCAATCTTAGATGTTTACTCACTCTTTCCAATCTTCCCAAATCACGAATAGCAAGAAAAGACAAAACCAATCGGAATATATCATCATTGAATCGATTATCAAATTCTACCATATCCAAATATTTTATATTTCCTCCGTTGAGTACAGGCAGAGTTTGTTCTCCATGATCGTTATGATCCATATGATCTTGTATCTCTTTTTCTTCACCATCCTTCAACTGAATTTCTGGCACTTGATTTTCAGACATTTTTTTTTAAGTTCATCGTGAGCAAGAACAGTGAAATTCAATTCAAAGAGTCTAAACCTATTATTATTTATACAACTTTACAATAATATTTCACAACAATAAAACAAGTACATTTCCAAACTCTAATCTGTTTCCAATTAAAAACAATAAACGTGCATCACCTTATAAACTCCGAAAGATTAAATAATCATTTAAAAAAAAATCTTTAAAAAAATGAGTTATGGAAGTATTGGTGATGATGATGGTGGTGGTGTAGGCCCAACCGAAACCGGAATTATTTATTCTTTGGTTGCAAGAGGTGCCACGATATTGTGTGAATATACTGAAAGTAAAGGAAATTTCCAACAAATTTCTAAACAAATTTTGGAAAAGATCCCAAGTAACAAATCTACAAAAGGTATGTTGTAGAGTTTTGAAAGAAAATTAACTTAATGATCATAATAGTCTCCTATGTGTATGATCAATATATGTTCCATATTATGGTTGTTGGAGAATATGGGTTGATCTTCTTCTGTATGAGTGGAAAGGATTTTGGTTCAAGAATACCATTCAATTTCCTTGATGATGTAAAGGAACGATTTTTGAGCAGTTATCCTGGAGAACAATCTAAAAGAATTCAACCAAATGGACTTAACAGAGAGTTTGGACAAATTCTTAAACAACAAACTAAATTCTTTAACAATCCAAGACAAAACGATCGTATTCAAAAAGTTAAAGGACAAATTAATGAAGTTAAGGATATTATGATTGACAATATCGACAAGGTTTTAGCAAGAGGAGAAAAGATTGACATTCTTGTCAACAGAACTGGTGACTTAGTTGAATCTGCTGAACTTTACAAGACAAAGAGTAAGAAATTGAAAAACAACATGTTAAAGAGAAATATCATCATTGTGTCAGTGATTGCTATTATTATTTTGATTGTAATTTTCTTGATTATTTGGTTTTCATGTGGTTTCCCATCATTCTATAGGTGTGGTGGAGGTAGCAGCTCAAATTAAATCAAGCTCACTACATTAAAGCAGTAATTTTAAATTATTTGTAAATTATTTTACAAGAGTAATTAATGTTATTTTAGTAGAATTATTCAATAAGTATATCTGTAAATTTTGGAATTTTGGAAATGTTGAAAAGCTTCATTTTAAAATTAATCATAACAATGTTCAATTCAATCCATAAAATCTCCTCAATCATATCATAATATTCATCCTTATCACAATACATGTAAAATATTAAAAATTTATCCCTCACTTGATTTAATAAATAAATTAGTTCCATCTTGAGACCAATTCATAAATTCTAAAATTACATCTTGATTTGGTGTTAAGCTTTCAATAGTTTTATGATAGATCTCACAAGTCATTAATAGATTTCTTGTCATTATGCTTTGATATCTTTTGTTGTTAAAATTAATTTGTTGTACTAGAAAAGATTTACATCAATTTCCAAGAAAATACTCACTTGAATTGAATAGAAACAGCAATTATGAAAGTTCAATTTACACATGCATCCAAGTTATGGAATTGTCCAATAGAGCTAACTTTGAAACCTACTCTTTAGTGGTTTTGAATTTATTATTTCTTAAGGAAGAATAGATTTTTCTTGGCTACTTTTCTGACACATCTGCAGGTCAATGAAACTCTTTTCGATCTCTCAATAACGTGACCTGTTTCAGCCAGCTCCTTATTGTGTAAAAGACCTGCATTGGCAATAACCATATCATCATTGATTTCATACTTTTCACATTCTTCAATTCCATGCATATAGTCTAGTAACATATTAGTAAATAAAAGTAAATTATATTGGTTGGAGAAATTTAAAACACTTACAATGATAGATATCTTCAGTGAAAACGAGTAGTGATCTAGGCTCAGCAATTACTGAAAAGCTTCTTATGTATGGACATTGTTCCACATAATCCTCATCCTTTTCACATAATGTAAAATTAAGCATTACTGTAGATTCCAAACTCAAAATGAAAACCATTGGAAAATAAACTGGACCATCCTTATGAGAATTAATACCTTGATTAACCTCATATTCATTAATTAAAACATGATTAATTGATCTATTTCCTGGAAAAGTATGCAAATCATTCAATCCAAGATTTTGTCCACTCAACCAAGTAGGTAATTTCTCCTCAAACATTAACTTATCATTTGGATTTCCTCCCCACCTCTGCAATCTTCTATTACTCAATCTATGCCATTGTTGCGAATTAACAGCATAAATATTCTGAAGTAAATCCTTTTCCTTTTCTTCAGTCAAAAAATTAGGAATATAATACGCTGTAGGTGGAAGAAATACATCATCAACAATTTTACTAGTCATCTTGACTGTATCATGAGTTAATCTGAATGGATCCAATCGTTCCGCATTGCTTGTTCCAGCAGGATATAATTCCGTAGGCATGATCGATGAAGTTGTGCTGAATACACTTGATGAGGAGGTTGAGTGAGTTGGTGATGATGGTGATCGAAGCTTTGATTGATCATTTCCATCCTGATGATGGTTATCGGAAGAAGTACCAATTTTCAAGTCTTGCATTTTTTTTTGATTAAAAAGTTAAGAAAATTAATTTGCCTATTTTTAGAAAGTAAATTAAAAATTACTTTCTTGGAACTATTTTGAAAAGTAATTAAATATTTAAACAACAATGGATGAATTGTCAATAATTTGTGGTTGTTTTTTAAAGAGACTATTTCTTTTCACTCTTGAACCAATTGGTTGAATAGAATTGGGCAAATCATTCACAAATTTTACAGAATCTGTGAAAATTGGATGATAGAGTAGAATGGTGACAATTCCAAATAAGAAAATTCCAATAGAATTGCTGAAATTGTAAAATATAGACATGTAACTCCAATAATCCACAACCGTTATACATGCCAAGGCAATGATTTGAGATAAAGCTGCAGCTATTAATGCAATTTGAAGAGAAATGATCTTAATGATTGGTCGTTGGGTTTGTTGCTTGTTTTGTTGAGATGTTTGAGTTTTGATTGTTTGTAAAACCTTAAATGCAACAATCTATTGCAAATGTCAAAGGATTAGAATAACTGAATTAGAAACTTACAATTGAAATAATTGTGTGAATAAAAATTTGAAGAAAGTAAATAATATATCCTATTAGAAATAGAATAAACTCAAAATTCTCCAACATTCCCATCTTGATGAAGAAATAAATAACAGACACTGCCATAATAATTGCCCCAAACGAACCACAAAACAAACATGTGAAGGAATTGAGAATTATCATCAACCATCTTGTGGAACGTAAATTCCAGTCCTTCCTACTCCCAGCTTGCTTTACAGTTTCAAGGAAAACATTTCCAACAAAGCTCATTATCAGAACCATCATCAATAAATTCATTCCAATGAAGAAACATTCGAAAGAATCAAAGACATGCATTGAGATGAGGTAAGAGAATTTAATCCCAGTCTGTGTTGTTGTCAGTGAGCAATTAATGTTTTGAAAAGTGTCAATAAACTCTTGAGATTCTGGCAAATAATTTGCTGACACAAAGTCCTGGTATTGAGAAACGATTATAATATTTAGGAGGTCACAAAAAATCCTTGAAATAATTCCTGAACATTGAATTAGGGATAAGACAGAGACCATTGCAACCATAATGAATTGGTTTCGTTTCATTTCGTTTCTTGCTTTTGGTCTAATTAACGTGGTCGAAACAATTATTATCAAGATATTGAAAAAAACAAAGAAAATGGACGAAAGTACTATTCCAACAATTGATTGATAAAGAGGGTCCAACTCTGCAAGGGTGATATTCGTATCAGTATTCTCAAAATCCAATAAAGATAAATTCGATGATGAAAGACTTTCTATCAAGTTTACATGGTCTGAAATTAATCTTGCTAATGATGACATTCTTTTTATTAAAGCAAATTTGAAGCTAAAGCAGAATACTTCTAAAATAGTATGACAAGCTTTGACAAAACATTAGAGATACTTGTTGTGCTATTAGCATTGTACTCCATTCAATCAACGTGTGTCAACTCTATAAAAGAAGTGTATTTAATAGTATGATGTACAACTAAACAATTGCCTTACTGAGTTTCACAATTTCCTACTTAAATACTATTCTCAATAACTCATTGATTTGGTAGACTCTTTGTTGAATCTTAATCGCTTTTATGAAATATCAACAAGTAATAAATGCCATGCAGAAACTCAGTTGAATTGAGAGTAAACACAAATTCTATCCTGTCCATAATCAGTTACGTAAAGATCACCAGTTGCATGATCGATAGACAATCCTCTTGGCTGGTAAAGTGCTTCTTTGCTGTATAGAGGAGCTTGGTTTCCAAATGATTTAAGGAAACCTCCAAGCTGGATGGAAAATTGAATTGATTTGGTTTTGAGCCGTGTTCTCCAAAGGAATGCACAATTTTTCCCTTTTTATCAACCAAGTAAATTTTTGCATTAACAACTGAAGAAACTACAAAATAATTTCTATCCAAACTGAATGCAATACCATAGGGATTGCTCACTGAAGGAATATTATCATTATTGTAGAAAAGAGTAGGCCTTTTAGGAGTCAGAACAAGTATTGATCTCACTTTTCCGGTTTCGGCCGAAAGAGTTTGGATGGTATTACCTCCACATTCACAAACAAAAACTAATCCTCTCATTTCATCAACAATAACTCCACAAGGATTTGACATTTTTCCAGAAGATTTCCAAATTTCACTACGAGTTTCTAGATCGAATCTATAAACAAATCCGTCTTCGGAACTAAATATCAAGGAGTCACAATACATTGCCATAAATCTTGGTCTATCAACTGTTTTGATATTATACATTAACTCCCTAGAGTGTAAATCAAAAACTTGAATATTTAACTCTCCACAATCACTAACAAATAATAATGATCTCCTCTCATCAATAACAACATCACAAGGATATTGGAAAAAATTAGATGCATTCGGTAATCTATTCCCAATAATATCTTTCAATGAGTAGGTTGGTGTTCTCAAAACATGACGTAAAAGAATGATCAATCTATCATCACGATGCATAAACTTTTTTTCATCAAGAAGAACCACAACCTTTTCCCTGTTCATGTTTTGTGTTAATAAATAACTGCAAGTAGTGCAATGATGATTAGATGTTGGATCGTTTTTTTGATTGGTGAAAAATCAGCGATGGTATGTTGGACACGCTTATTCTACCACTATTACAATAATGTTACCAGTACAACTATTTCTCTCGGTGTTTCTCAAAGATAATTGGTTGAGAATATCACGCCACAAACATCAAGATTGAGAAAGAGTTTCTTTTTAGATTAATTACAACTCTCCACGTAATCTCCTCAAGTAAGATTCTTAATAATATTCATTATCATCGATATCCAAGTTCTCCTCTCAAAATAACTCTTCGAAACAACAAATATTATTGCCTCCCAAAAGGCTTTATTTTGCAGTTATGATACAAAGGAGCTTTTTGATTTTAATATTTTTTTAAAAATAGTTGAAAAAAATACCGAGCATTCAGTGTGCGTATTCTTTTTTTTTTCTTGCTGATTTTTAACCGCTTTGTATTGTGTTATTGCTCTCTCATCATCATTGTTTGAATATATTCAATATTTAGATTCTCCAACAATATATATATAAAATGGCTGAATTGGATCAATGGATAGAGAAGGTAAAGAAGTGCGATTATTTACCTGAACAAGATTTGAAGAAATTATGTAATATGGTCAAGTCCATCTTGATTGAAGAATCTAACGTACAACCTGTTTCATCCCCTGTAACAGTATGTGGTGATATCCACGGTCAATTCCACGACTTGTTAGAGTTGTTCAAGACAGGTGGTGAATTGCCAGATACTAGATATATATTCATGGGAGATTTTGTTGATAGAGGATACAACAGCTTGGAAACTTTGACTTATTTGATGCTCTTGAAGGCCAGATATCCAGAACGTATGACTTTATTGCGTGGTATGTATTTTATATTGTTTGAATATTAATTCCGTTTTCTTATTATTAATAGGTAATCACGAATCTCGTCAAATTACTCAAATCTATGGTTTCTATGATGAATGTCAACGTAAATATGGTAATGCTAACGCTTGGAAATATTGTTGTGAAGTTTTTGACTGTTTCAATGTTGCTGCTGTTATTGATGGAAGAGTTTTGTGTGTTCACGGAGGTTTGTCTCCCGATATTCGTACTTTGGATCAAATGAGAACTATTGATCGTAGACAAGAAATTCCACATGAAGGTCCATTCTGTGATGTCATGTGGTCTGATCCAGAAAATATTGAAACTTGGGCTGTTTCTCCTCGTGGTGCTGGTTGGTTGTTTGGAAGTCGTGTCACATCTGAATTCAATCATTTGAACAATCTTGAACTTATTTGTCGTGCGCATCAATTGGTGCAAGAAGGATACAAGTATCATTTCCCAGAACAAAACTTGGTTACAGTTTGGTCAGCTCCAAACTATTGTTATCGTTGCGGTAACATGGCCAGTATTTTAGCTTTTGATGATAACTTGGGCAGAGAATTTAAGAGCTTTAAGGAAGTTCCTATTGACCATAACATACAACCATCCAATAAGGCAATGTACTTCTTGTAACTTTATATATATTTCACAACTAAATTTTATTTAACAAAAATGTAAAATAGCTCTTCTTGCTGCATCTTCTTTAGCTGTCTTGTAATCAATTCCATAACCAATTGACAAAAGTTGTTGGTCTGAGGAATAGATTTGTACCATTTGAGTTTGTTCAAAGCTGTTTGTTAAGGATGAATAGGTTGGGAGTGTTTTAAATTGTCTCATGTGGAAGTATTCAAATTGCTCAACGATTGTCATTTGTTTCTCAAACGCTTTCTTTGTAGAAATTTGAGCTAGATTGCTTTCGGTCAGCTCTGTAAATCTAGGTATAAATTCCTTAACAATGAAAGGATATAAAACATGATTCATCATAATATCAAAAGATTCAATATTCATGTAAATATTACCAATAATCGCCTTGAATATTCTCTCGTGTGCAGACTTGTTAATAAAATCGTTCGAAGTAAAACTGATATCTTTTAAGAGTGGCTCTAATTCCTTCAAGTTATTTTGTTGAATATAAATGTAGAATAATTGATTATTATTCAAGAAATATTCAAGTAAATGTTCCTTAATTTGGAAATCTTTTGTAATCTTGTCATTGATAATGTTGAGAGTTTTACCTTCAGCCATCAATTCTTGAACTAACGAAAGGTTTTCATTAAAATATTTAGTAAGTATATATTTCAATAATTGATGTCCAATATAATATAAATCATTTTGTTCCTTAGATTTGTGTACAAGTACATTATAATTTAAAAAGTATTTTTCCAAACTAATTTTAGTATGTTTGAAGAACACACTATTCTTGTAAACGCCATGAATTTTGGCAATTTCTTGTTGTGTAAAGTAATGTTGACGATTGGCTGTATGTTCAATAATTTCGGAACCTGTTTTAACTTGAGAATTTGCAACAAATTCAACCAATTCTTTTTTCAAAACATCCGACTGAGCAAGAATAGGTGAATCATCCTTCAATACTAAATTATCCATTTCACTAATTAATTCATGATTTTCCCTATTCACTCTAGTCTTTTTTGCCATCTTGTTTTTCATTTGTGGTGTGATGGCACCCATCTTTTGAATAATTAATTGATTAGTAAAACTCTTATTATTCAGCAAAATTGATGATGAAAAATTTCTTCTTCCTTGTTGTTGTTGTTGTTGGAGAAGAGATAGTGTTCGGAATGTCAATTTGATTGAATTTCTAGAATCGGAAACCAAACGACCGAGTTTTGGTGCTACACAGTGATGCATTGTTAACATGTTTTTTTTAAATCAAAAAACTTCTTGTGGTATTTTTCATTCCCGCAAATAATTATGATATTTAAATTATTAAAATAATTATTGAATGATGAAGACAATTGAGATTTGCATCAGAATTAAACTGGGAGAAACCAAAATAATTTCTTAATCTATTTGAAATTGTTTTTTTAAAGAAGAATTAAGAATTGCACATTTGAGGTAACTTTTGCCAGATTGTTTCTCTTTCCATTTAACAATAATTTCCCTTTTACCACACATTCTCAAATAAAGTAAAACAATACTCTTCCTTAAAAGACCTCAAAACAACATCATTGTAATCATCATTCCAATTATCTTGTTCTCCGGATTGTGCGGGTTGTGTATGGTGGAATTGCGCGAATTTCGCCAAACACGAACAACCAGCCTCCAAATAGTCTTCAAACCTTTGCTTGCCAACATACAGAAGAAAACCGTTTCCCAAGCAAATTTCTCCAACTCTATTATCACCTCCAACGAAAAATCCAAGTGTGTCATCCTCTTCAGCTGCACCTGAACCCGAACATACCACACAATAAAAAATGTTAACTAAATGTTCAAGAGGAGTTGTTGCCTCTGTTAGCAACAAGATAACCAATTCTATTATTACTACTCAAACAAGTAGAAATTTCTGTTGCTCGGCAATGATGAGAGGAACAAATTTGCAACAACAAGAAGCAACTTCATCATCAGCAACAACAGAGGATATTTCCACAAGTACTATTGTTAATAATCAACAAGATGGAGGAATTGCTACTCAAGAAAAGAAATGGACTAGTGGAAATACTTCTATTGATTTTTCCAAAGTTGAACTTTATTATGACCAAGTTTCATCATGGCAATTATTGAAAACCTATACTGCTTTAACAAGTTGCAGATTGCCAGGTGTTAGAACTATTGGTGCTGAAATTCTTGAGAAAGGAGGACCTGTTGTTTCTCAAGCTGTTAAATATTCTTATTTCCAATATTTCTGTGGAGGTGAAACTTTACCAAAAACCAAAAAGGCCATTGTGGATGTAACTCAAAACAAAAAAATGCATTGTATCTTGGATTATAGTGTTGAAGGTCCAGTTCAACCATTGGAAACTTCTGTTATTAATGTAGATAGCTCAGAAGTTGTTGAAGATTCTATTTGCAAAGTAATTGCTGAATCAATTGAATTTATGGGAGAACAAAATAGAGCCATGAAGAGAGATGGTATTAATGAGCCACTGCCTTGTCCATTTGGTGTTGTAAAAGTTACTGGTATCTCTAGTTGTATCCTTTTGGAAAGATTGAGTAAGATTTTATGTTATGTTCAATTATTCCCAGAATCTGAACATGCCAAGAAATTGCTCAATACTAATATTTATTTCTTTGGAGATATTGCCTCTGATGTCAGCACTTTTGATTTAATGAAAGAATATACTGTCAAGCAATATCCTAGAACTGTTGCATTTAACTTGAATGAAAACACACCGCCGGAACCTCTCTCTCAAGTTGAATTAACAAAATTGGGTAGAGTTATTCAAAGACTCACAATGCTCTGTGATGCTTGCGTCAAGAATGGAATGAGTTTGTTGGTTGATGCTGAACAAACTTATTATCAAGCTGCAATTGATCAATTGTACATGATGATGAGCATCAAGTATAATAATAAGGAAATTTTGAAGAATAGACAAACACCAGTTGTTTATAATACCTATCAAATGTATCTTAAGGATGCTCTCCATAGATTACAATTCGATTATCACTTTTTAACTCAAAACGGATTACATCATGGTTCAAAGCTCGTTAGAGGTGCTTATATGAAATCTGAAACAATTAGATCTAACGAAATGGGTATACCATATCCTTTCCAACAAACACTGTTGGAAACTCACGTCAACTATGTTAGAGGAGTTGAATTTTGTCTCGATAATTTATATAGTGAAGGAAATATTGGTGTCCTCATTTGTTCACACAACCAAGACACTTTGGGAATGAGTAGTAGATTGTTAACTGAAAAGTATGGATTTGAAAAGAAGGATCCACGTGTTATGTTTGCTCAACTTTATGGTATGGGTGATAATTTATCTCATGCTTTGGTTTATCACGGATATAATGTTGGAAAATATGTTCCATTTGGTAGTGTTACTGATGTTATGCCATACTTGGCTAGAAGACTCATTGAAAATGGAGATATGTTGAGTGGATCTACTGTTGAAACTCAAAGAATTAGATCTGAAATTGTTCGTCGTGCCGCCATCTATTCCAAAGCAGTTTATTCCAAGATTGTTCAATTTATGGAGGAAAGAAAGAACCAATCATCACCCCCACCTACTGCAACTGCTTCCCAATAAATTTTGTCAATTATTAATAACTAATGAGATTTAATTTCTATATTGCTCCAATTACAGATTATCTTCCTCACTTGAATAGAGAAGTAATTATGGATCCTACTCTATCAGCTTACTTTGAAAACAAAGCAGCTTAAGGGAAGGCTTATATGTTTACGATCAAACTCTAAAAAAAATGTTAGCACAAAAAGACACTTCAAGAGTTGAGGAGATGAATAATCTTCTTCAAATTGTTATAAACCACCTCACTACCACCTCCAATGTTTATGCTCCTCCAAAGGAACTTGTATTGATATTGCTTTCTGTTCAACAAATACAATCAGATTGGAAACGTTATTTGAATTTGGAGAAGAAACCTTCTACCATGAAAGAATTGCTTAAAAGTAATTCTCAACTGGTTATGATTTTAATGGATTATCTTTCTGATAGCACAGCACTCAAGGATCTTCTTATTAACATAATCCCAAAGAAGGTTTCAAACATCCCTAAGGTTAACCATGTAGTAACAAAGGTCATCACCAATTATAACGGAAACTATCTTGATTATATTAAATTAGGCTCTGATCGTGTTGAACAACAAGTGATTATGGATTGCATTAGAGAAACAATGAAGGCTGATAGAGTAAAGGAAGAACCTTCTGTTGATTTAAAGAATGATGAATTAGACGAAATATTTAGAAAGTTAGGCTACTCAAAGTCTTCCAGATATTGTCTTGTTAGAGCCCTATTGTACTTCAATTGGAATATTAATTCTTCATTGCAAGAACAGATCACCAAGTGCTTCCTAGAGAGCAACAATAAGGCTCATATTTCCATTACATTATTTAACAAGATTAGGAGAGAACTTGATTTTTACTCTTTTGAATTGCATCAAGAGATTCAACAGGATTTATGTAAGGGTGTTGAAACAGTGTCAGATATTTTGAACATGAGAGAAGATGATTTTGAAAAGGTAAAGAGAATTGTTGTCGACACCAAGAAAGCAAAAAGAAAGGAATTTCAAGATGCCGCAAAGGTCTTGTATGGGCCAAAGAAGAGCAAGAAACAACCTACCATTAAGCAATGTAAGGCTCTTTCAACTGTTCAAGTTTCTATTGCAAACAACCCAATTCAAGAACAAAGCACACCTCTTAAAACAGAACCAAAGAAGAGCAAGAAGGAAATCAAGAAGCAACCACCTGTTAAACAAAAGATTCCAGGTGCTAACCTTGAAGATACCGAATGCTTGCCTTGTCAACAAGTTGCAAATCCAAACACTAACCCAACTCAAGGACAAGATACAGATGTTATCCATTCAATTCAAGTAGCTCTCACAGGTTTGAAAATTGTAAATCCAAACACCAATCAAATTCAAGATGTTCTTCTAGCAACAGAGACCGCTCATGAAGATGATACAACATCTATTTCTAGTTCAAGCGTTTTATTTTCAAGTAAGGCAGTCGAAAGAGATGAGGATCAAAATTTGGAACACAGAAATTTGCTGGCTGAAAATAACAAATACATTATTGACAAAATTACAGAAGTACTTATTGAGGCAATAACTGAAAATAACAAATATATTATTGAAGCAATGGCTGAAAACAACAAAAAATTAATGAAACACATTTCTGAAGTACAAAAAGATAACAAAAATAATTAAACTATACCTAATGATAGGTCACATCACTTTTGATGAGGTCATTGGTCATTGTTAACACAATAAACATTACACTATTCTTATTATTTAAAAATAAAATTAAAAAAAAATGATTAATGGATCTTCGGGTGATAGTACTAACATGGATTTATTTATTCATCACAATAATTTCGGATCGGGAGGAGAAGAAGGATCTTCACAATTAATTAGAGAAAAATCCTTTGGAGATTCAGTGATGATTTGTATGACTGGACAATGTGCTCCGAATTCTACTAAATCACATCTTCAAATTCCCTTCTTTCTTGCTGATATGACTGATGCTGGCGGAGAGAGTTTGAGTTATTCATCCAGTGGATTTGTAATTAAATCTAATAAGGAGGAAAATACATATTTTGTCATTACGAGTGGAACATTATTGTCTCCGTTTATTTCTAATATTTCAAAACAGAGTGAAGAAGGAAGTATTGTGGAAATTATACCAAAATTAAATTGTAAAGTGACTATTACTCTACCAAATGGAGATATGTTATTTAATGAAATTCTTCCTTCACAAGTGAAACGATTTGGAAAAGTGCCTAATCTTAAACTGTCTCATAATTCAGTGAGCTCATTTGTCAAGTCGGATATTCAATTAATGGGATTATTTTCACATACTACTACTGATAAATATATTCATCAAATGACTAATCAATTACAAGGTTGGTATTGGGGCCATCCATTGGTGAGGAAGGGAAATCAGAATGTTGGACATACTCTTAAATCCTCATTCAAGGAACCTCATTCTAAATTTGATGACCAACAAATGCCAAATAATTCTGTGGAAATACCTTCTTCACTGATTACACCATCAACTATGGCTGTTTTCAAGATTAAAAACTGTGAAAGTTTGAAAAACTATGCAGTTTCCATACCAGATGTGGAATATAATGGAGATTTTCTTTCACAGGGAGATGATTTATTCATTGTTTCATCTCCTTTCGGATTACTTTCACCTCATTCCCTTTCCAATCATTTAACAAAAGGAATTATTTGTAACAAGATTAATAACAATAATAATTCTCAAAATTTGGCCATCATTACAGATTGTCAGATACATCCAGGAAGTGAAGGAGCTCCAGTCTTTGCGAGAGTAATTACACAAACCAAGTGTGTAGGAGTAAGTTTATTATATAATATTTACATTTGATGGAAATGATTCTAGTTTTGTACCTTACCTGTTCGTTCTATATCCTCGAGTAATGGATTGAATATTGTAATTTCCATTGATCCTTTTGTAAAACTATTGAGAGAAAAATTTATTGGAACATCACCTAATATTATTCTTCCAGTTATGGATAAATCAAATGATATTTACAATATTACCAGAAATAAGATTGCACTCATAATAATTAATAATACTTGGGCAACTGGAATCTTATTGACCCATACTGGTTGTAAGTATGATTAATGCATTTATTTTAACAATAGTCTTGTAGATATAATGACTAATTCACATGTGATGGCACCTTTCATGCAACAGAAGGAGGATGGCACCTTTTTCTTACCTGATCACCTTTCAATCGTTGTTCAATTGGATTATGATTTGAGGGATAACGAAAAGAGTCATAAATTCCATCAGGCAGATTTGATTCTTTATTGCAGCTCTGGTCCAGTAAGTTGATTTTCACTATTCTTATGTTAATCCAAATCAAGCTTGATGTTGCTTTGCTGAAAATTCATGAATCAAGTGTTTGCCAATTAGTGCAATCAAACTTAATCGAAACGAGTGGAATTTTGCCATGTTCTAGTGATGTTCAAGAGGGAGAGGACGTTTATGTTGTTGGATTTCCATTGATGCAACCATTGAATACCTCAAGATCTATAAAACAATGTACAATTACTAAGGGTATTGTATCCAAGGTTGTTTATATAGGAAATAAGAGAGCTATGGTCTGTACAACAGCCCACGTTCATGATGGAAATAGCGGAGGAGGAATCTTCAATGCTAAAGGACAATTAGTAGGTCTAGTGACAAGCAATGTCAAGTACAAGCTTACTGACAGAACATCAGGTCATGTGCAACCACTTTTAATTCCGAGCATTAATTTCTCAATCCCAATCGATCAATTGGAGCCTTTATTGAGATGTATATTGAATGTAAAATGTGACATTAAGAGGGAGTTGAATAATATTTACAATACTCCAAACCAGACCCTTAAAGAGGTATACTCCTTTAAACCAATCTCACCTCTGCCTTCCTTACCTCAAAGAAATATTCAGAACACCAACAATAATAACAATAATAGAACTCACACCCCAAGTAAACTTTAAACCACTTTAATTTCCAAACTGTTTTTCTAATGAGTTGAGAAGAGAACACAAATCCACATTGGCAAGGTTTCTTGTCTTCAATTTCAACACTAAACTATGAATGTCCATACTTAAGGCAAGACCATGCATGATACTGTCCTCTTCATCGGTTGGTTGTTCCTTTGAATCAACCTTGAGAAGTATTGTTAACGATTTGATAGCATATTGACAAGCACTTTCATCAAAGTCTTCTCTTGAAATCTCTTTTTCCAACATTTCAAAGGAGGTGGAGAATAACCTAACCATCATTTCTTCATCTGGAAGCTCATTTACAAATAATAGTGAGAGATTGTGAAGGAGAGCACCGTACGTTTGTCTATATGCAGGTTTTGAGGTTGGTTGTAAGGTGAAAATTTTGCTTTCTGTCAACTGTTCCAAGATTTTGTCTGTGAACTTGTTAACATAGACTCTACCTAACCTTTCCTTAAAGAGATTGTTAATAAGTCTAAGAGATACAAGGCAGTAGGCGTACGAATTTTCAACTGTTGCCTCACTAGTCTTGTTAAAGATATTCAATAATAAATGGTCCTTTTGATTCTGTATGAAAAGCTTGGAGAATGTATCTGAGACAGTCTTGTTGTTTACAATGGCAATACGCAACAAGTCAATAATTGGGAAGAGGTTTTCGAATTTCCATTGTCTGAGGATAGAATTCACTAAGGAAATTTCTGTAATTTTCCAACCACTCACATTCAAAAGCGATTGAACTTGTATATCTGTAATTGTAGGACTAGGTTCACGAGAAATCAATTCCTTGAGTTTTTTCTCAACACCTGCAATGTTCACTTGGTCAAAGAGAACATATGAAGTACTAGTTGTTTTTGTGAGGATGGACCAATTTACAATTTTGTGTTCTTCTGATAAACCACCTGTTGAAGCAGTTAAGCCAATTCTAAATTTCTTTCCCTTTCCAAATACTCTCTCAAAATCAACAGATACATCCTTCAGTATCAAATATTCCTTCTCTAAAATAATAGATAATTTCCCTCCTTGGATAAGAAGTTGACAGTTGTGAATTTTTCCATCTGAAAGAGTAATAGGAAGACTTGTTGTACATTTGAGAGAATAGTCGTGATGTGCAGAGTTTGGTTTGTCATATCTTGTTTGGATAGAGATATGGTTTGAATCTGGATCTCTTGTTCTATCGAAGGTTTGGTAAGTATCAAATTCGATTGCAATAGAGTTTGGTATTCCTTCATATCCCATTCCACTACCAGGAGCTCCCATTTGTGCAGCATTATCATTGGAGTGCATAATCAGGGCAAACCCATCGGCTCCAGTTCCATTCTTTGTAAGTTGGAACGAGAATTCAATAACCATATCACGCACATCCAACTGATCATTAAACACTATTGAACCGCATTGAGAAGTCTTGTTTTCTGTAATTATGATTGAATTATCATTCAAAACTCTACAATTTCCTAGACAAGATAGAGAATTTGTTTTCTTATTCACTTCAATCTTGTTGGTATAGAGCTTAAGGCTATCCACAACAGATTGCTCTAACTTATATTGAGGAACAGGACAGCTATCGTCATCACAAGATGTTTTGCCTGTTTCTCCTCGAGACTTCTTCCACTCTTCAGAGCCGGATATTCTTCCTCTTTGTTCTTCCAATGTGAGGTCAGACGAGGATTTTTGCTTTTGTTCAATTTGATCTTTTTCCTTTGTTTGTCTATTTTTAAGGAAGGTAGATCTGTAAGGTGGCATAAATACATGCAATTGCTCATTAATGTTTTTCAATGTGCTTTCTAACCAAGGTTCACTAATGCCTTGAGCTCTTCTTCTTTGTTGGAAGTCGTCAGAATAGAAATTTTGAGTATATCTTTTTGTGACATCAATTACTTCCTCTGCAGAGAAAGCAATAATATAAGAGAGTTTCTTTTGCCATCCAGCTTCATACATCATTGGTGAATCCAGTGTTCCTTCACATGAATCAGCATGACACCATCCATCCAAATAAACCTCAGTCCAAACGTGATCAGTCCAATCAAGAACATATCTTGCTTCATATCCCATAGCTGAGGCCATTAAAGTGAAACATTGAGCCCACTCACCACATCTTCCTCTTCTAGTTTCCAATAATTTTCCAACATAATTATATCGAGGAAATCTGGTAGTTTGTCTACAATTTGGACATGAATACAATTCAACAATACCAGCTAAATTTTGTTGTTCCGAAGCATTAGGAGCAACTCCTCCCATTCCGTTTGTATTTGTTGCTTGACAATGATCACAAGGAGGATTATTAACCCACTTGAAAAAATCACTCTTAAACCAATTTAATAACTCTTGAATGATGAAACGTTCCAACAATGGATTAGAGTTTGGATCATTCTCCTTTTTCATCTTGTATTTTTCTTGTGCTCGTTCATGAATTTGATCCACAGGAATCAAGGCTCTTGCTTTAGCTTTCAATCCCTCATCAACATATTGTTGTGATTGTTTTTGCGAGCTGATCAAACGAGAGAGAAATTTACGTTCCGAATCCGATTGTTGTTGTCCAAGCATTTTTTTAAATCTAATTTTAGCTTAAAAAAAATTGTTTGTAAATTTTTATTGAGGGTTAAATTGATTGAGAGATTTTTAATTCTTAATTACATTTCAAGTGAATATTCAAGGAATGTTTGGAGAAGGATAATTAATTACAATTGATTTATGAAATTTACATGAGAGAGCATTTTTTGGAAGAGTCATCGTCCTTGTAAAGACCTAAGGCACATTGGATTGCTGTTGCAAATAATTGAACAACTGTCACATCTGATATGCACGTTGTTTCCACATAGGTTTTACATTTACTTCTTTTAGCTTGATGAACCATGTGTTCATAAGTAGTATACCTATTTTGATTTTGTGTTCCAATTGAAGAATCATTCTTAACAAGATCAAGTTTAGATCCACATAAGACAATTGGTGTATCAGGTGAATATTTCTTAATTTCAGGAATCCACTATATAATTAAAATTGAGATAATCCAATTTCCATTCATGTTTTGAAACTTGGGTTTCCAATAAAAAAACTTACATAATGAAGAGCATCCTCCAAAGTTGACTCATCAGTCAGTGACACACAAATTATAAAAGCCATAGTATTCAAATATTGTAATCTTCTCTTTTCCTCATGGGCAACTCCCAATTCACTGATACAATCCCAAATTTCAGTTGTAACTTGTTTATCATTGACATCAATTTTAGCCAACTGAATACTCGTATCTGTAGAATGTTCATACGATTTATTCATATCAAATTCACATTTAGCAAATCGAGTAGCTAATGATGTTTTTCCACTATTAGGAGATCCAACCATTACTATTTTGATTTTAAAATCAGGATCATTCAATAGCATTTCCACTTCATTGCTGATCATATCTAATATTGTGATTTCCGATAATTATATTTCATCATGATTTAATATATTGATATATTGAATATATTGAATATATTGAACATATTCAATAATATTGATTGAATATTAAATCGGAAGAAAATGCATTAAAAAACGAACCATCATTGTGGATTGACCGACTTGCAAACATTTTTTTTCTAAATGGCTTTCTAATTGGGAAAGAGAATGTATTAGATGAAGATGGTTGAATTATTGTGAGTTTTGATTTTCCTAGAACAATCGGAGTTCAATCAGAGTCATGTAACACTTGTTGAATTATGAATTTAGTGTGCTGAGGGTTAACAAAAAGATTAAGCCAATTAATTAGTTAGAGGGCTGTTGACCACAATTTTCTTGTCTAACACTCTCTTGATTGAGTCAATTTCTAGTAGAATCGCAACCTAGAAGAAACAACAGATTTTCTTATTGTTACAAAGAAAGGTTTTTACAACATTATCAGAACTAGTTCTGCAAGATCTTTTGACATAGTTCATTTGCCTTGGGATAAACTGGTGTCATCCAATCTATCATATCCAACAGAAACTTTTTTGTCTTTTCATTATAATGTTTGATTAGAACTTTTTTCAAAGCATGTGTCAGGTTGCAAAATAATATTTCTTGCTCCTTCTTTTCAATTTCATTCGAATAGGTTTTAAATATCTCAATAATTTGAGTTGCTTGTTTCAATTTCGAAAAAATACATGATAGATAAATGGGTGGATCAGCGTTTAGCATTTCATCAACAGTTCTCTTAAGATCAATTTTCGAAAGCTCAATAAGCATTTCTTGTTTTTCTATGGCTTCTTTCCAGTGAGTGAAGAAAATCTCATAAAAGTGATGTCTGTGTTTTTCGTAAAATTCATCTCCAGCACTTTCCTTTAGTCGAATAAAATTGGAAAACAAATAATCAATTTCCCATGAATATCCTTCATAATTAATAAAAAAATTGAATGCCTTTTCTTCCAATTCATTATTTAAAACATAATCCCTCTTAGTGGTAAAGAACTTTTTACAATATTCCTTTCTAACATAAAGATTATGTGGTGCTGTAATGACTTCTTCTAAAAACACTTGGTTGAAAATTTGTAAATTTTCAATTACCAGCTTGGATGAACTAGGATTTCTAAGAATTTCTTTGAAATGTTCCATATAATCTTGCTTTCTGTTATAAAATAATTGAAATATTTGATAAACAGTTGAAATAGCTCCGTTTTGTGGCTGGTGTTTCAGTTTTAGTAAGTAAATAGCCATTTCATAGTTACTGTCCTCTAAATTGTTTTTGTCGAATCTTCTAACCATCAAAGTACATAAAAACTCGTTTAACCAAAGTAAACTGCCATTACGTCTGAGAGCAGTAGTAAACAACGCAGCATCAACTTCCTTAGTTTCCATCAATTCATGATAATATGAGGAAGTGAATGAATATGAGAGGATGGAATTATTTGGCTCCATTAAACAAGCATCAATAAATATTTTCTGCAATGTTTCGCGATAGTGTTCTGAAGTTCTAAAAAGAGGTAATACATATCCAATAACCAATCTTCTCTTCTCAACAGAATAGCCACTTCTCAATAAATAAGCCAAATGAACAAGTTTGGTGTTTGGACAAGTTTCTCTGAAAATATTTGTGATCTCTTCATGAGATAAATGCCAGCTTTTGTTTTTAATAACAATGTCTAAGAAATCAGATATGCACCTACCAATACGAAACATATCTTTGCACTCGATTGAAGTATTTCCATCCTCATACATTCCTTCTCTTTTTGCTAATTTTATCCACATATTGGGATTACAAAATATTGAAGAATAGAATAGATTACATGATATGGCTAAGTTAAAAATTTCATTAACTTTTAAAAAGTTAATAGCAGTTTCAAATAGTAACTCCAGCGCCATGAAATTAAAATCATTCTGTTTGCATTGCGATTTTGTAGAACTAGTATCAGACACGGTTTCGTTTTGAACCATTTTTTCTGTTTGTCTTTGGTTCCAGTGAATATAAAGTTCCAAGTTCAACAAAGTTTCTCAAGTTCTCACTTAGTAGCATAAAGTTCAATTCCCATTTCATTAGTTTACCCTTTATAAATCAAAATAGAAAGGAGCATTCGTATTATTCAAAGCTGCATTAATAAACTTGACTTTCCCTTCTCCTAAATCAATATTCTCATGCCCATACTTTGAGTGAGCATGCCCGAATGCCACAAATTTTAAATTTTTCAAATTATTTGCCTTTTCAAATAGGAATTTTCTGAATGCTGCGCTTCCAGATCCATCATCGAAAATATCTTGTGGTGGCTCATGATTTAAAATGATATCTACATCCTGTGGAATCATGTTATACTTTTCCATTTTCAATTTGTTAATAAGGGCTTGATGTTGAGAAGCTGGAAATTTGGAAAATTGAAAGGAGTCTTCCTTCTTTGATTTCCATGATATTCCATGAATTGTTAAACCACATATTTTTACATTCGAATCAAATAACAAATGAGTAGCATTCGAAAGATACAATTCTTTGAATTTTTCAACATTGAAATCTAATGCCTCCATTAGTGGACTCGAATGATTTCCAATAATTACAATAATGAAAGAAAACAAATGTTTGATCTTGGCCAAAAATTCTTGATTAAAATTAAGAACAGGTTGTTCCTTTCCATAGAAACCAAAATCACCACAATGAAGAAGAATTCTCTCCTCCTTGTTGGATCCTTCCAAAGCCTTTTCCAAATGTTCAATGTGCCGAGCGTAGAATTGATGAGTATCGCTCATCAATACAATTCTCCTCAATTTTATGTTATCTTCTTCCGAGCCGGCTGATGATGTAATGTTGTTTGTTGTATTGAATTGTAATTGAACAGGTACGGAACTGGCAAGTTTGGGGAGAGAAATATTTGAAAACATTTTTTTTAAATTGAAAAATTTATCAAATAATCAGTGCAAAGATAGTGCTATTATTATATTGGGTAAATTTACAATTATTTATACAAAAGGATCATGATTTAGAGATCAACCAAACGAGATTCAAGTCTCAATTGATGTTCAACACGAGCTCTGGAATTTTCACCATATTCACGAGCAACTGTACGATAAGTGTCAAGCTCATTCTTAAGCATCAAAGCTTGATGTCTCTTATTGGCAAGATTCAATTTGTACAAAGCAATTTCAGCCTTCTTAATAAGTTGAACCTTATAGGCATCTTTGAATTCATCAGATGATCCCTTTTCAGCAACAATATCATCTAATTTCTTTTCTTGTTCTGTCTTATTTAATGGTCTCAATTCTGGGAACTTTAAACCTTCCCATGGTTTCTTTGGCACAAAGGTTACATCTCCTTGAATCAATTCAGGTTCAGCATGTTCCAATGAAGATTGCAAGGCCTTTCTTTCTTGTGGAGATGGTACTATTTTACATTCACCATAAAGTGATGAAACAAAAGACTTTAATTCATCCATATTCGGAGTTGAACCCAAGAATAAAACCATAGGTCCAGCATTCTTTGATGCAATATCAATCTAATAATTATTGTATATAATAATAATATTAATAATTCATTGATCCGATCATCCAAAATTTTAATATCAAACAATAATCATTCACAAAAAACAATAAATTTCATCATAATTTGTCATTATCATCACCACCAATTGTATAAACAATCATCCATTATTAATCTTCAAAAACCTACATCAAAACCTTTGTATGAAAAAATTGAGTGTGGGACGGTGGCCATTTTTTTTAAAATTATTGGAAATTGTAGTGTATTTTTAGAACAGTCTTTTTATGTGCATCAAAAACAAAATGCCCAACAAAAACATTAAGAATTAAGAGAATGAAAAGTTAACTTCAATTTCTTTTCTTCAGATATTTAAATTCGACAGTTTTAAATAATTTATAATTATTAAATTACATGAATGAATATTGACCTCTGCCAATTCGATTGATGTTTGATGGCCAATATTATTAAAAAAAATGGCAACGTTATTACATGATATCGGAACGTCATTCAAACCACAAACACTAATTTCAACGATTAAATCGACAGTTACTCATACTGTTGATAATATTGTTGGTAAACAAGATACAGCACTTAACTTTGCCAATACAGATGGTACTGTAACATTGGAGGATATTCTGTCATTGTCACGTGTCACTCAAATTGATAAACAATTAAAAGCGGAAGAGGAACCACCAACAACTGATGAAATGATTGAATTATTAGAACCATTTTCACACGAAGAATTTAATCCACATTATTATGTAAATACAATTTTGGATAAATCAAAATATGACAAGAGAATGGAAAAGAAATTGTTGAATTTTGACAAGGCCAATTTGAGAGTATTTAATAGATTTACAAATAATGAAAAGGATAATCAAGAAAAGGATAACCAAGAATATGAATTAAATGACGATGATGATTTAGATGATCCAATTTCCCCCTCATCTCCTACAGCAGGTTTGTTTCTTATTGTTCAATATTTTAAATATTGAATTAAATTATTTCATATCATTTAAATAGTTGGAGCTGCAAATAGTAAATTTTTGGAAAATAATTCGAATAATAATTTGAAAGAACAACTTTTAAACCCTGGAAAGAAACTTGTAAAGAAGGCAGTTCAAACCACAAAGAATATTGCAAAGGAAGTAACAGTTGCTGGTCATGAAGCTGAAACTATTATTAGTGGTAAGAAATTTCAAATGATTCAACAAGAAAAAATCACCAAAATTAGTAAGAATATTTCTGGTCACAATGAAAAAGTGCTTCGTAAAATGGAACAAGTTGTCTCTAGCAATTTGATTACAGATGTATATAATCACTATGGATTCTTTATTCAAACCTCTAAACACATTGAAAAAATGGATGGAGAATTAGTAGAGTTGGGTAATTTGTGGAATGAAATGAAGAGTACTGTTGGTGATGCGCTAGTGAGTTTAAATTCAACATCAACATTGATGGGAGAATTGTCAAATTCGTTCAAATCTAAAGGAAAATCAACAAATAGTTCACAAAGCGAATCAGAATTGAAGGATAAGGTCATGACTAAAATCAAAGACATCAATAATGACTTTTATAATGCCTTACAAATCAGAGATTTTGAGTCAAGTATTCAATTATATGATCTTGGAAGAAATATTGTTGAACAATTCATGACTGATCCAACTATGAAAAAATCAAAAGAGGATATTGAAGATGATACCGAATCTGAGGTCGAAATTGTTGAAAAATTCCAACAAACAGCTCAACGATTTGTTGAAGTGTTACTTATTGAACTTGTAAATTCTAGAAGCCCTTCCTATAGTGAGCTTGTTGTAAAATATTTGACCATTTTGAACAATAAGGAGGAGTCTATCAGTGTCTATTTGGATGCACAAAGTAAGATGATTGATGAAGTACTTTCTCACATTTCAATTGGTGACCCTCTGGCATTAAGTGAAGAACTTTCTGCAAGATTCTTCAATGCAGTTGCCAAGGTTTGCGAAAACTATATCATCATTTTTGGAGATGGATTGAAGAAAGAAACTTCCAAATCAGTTGAAGAAGAACCCTCATCAAACCCTGGCAATCTTTCTAGTCGTCACAGAAATACAGCCAATAATACAGCAAAAGTGAGTGAGAAGGCTGCTCAACTCCTTTCGAATATTCCTCACGGAGCACACAACAGCGGTTTCATCAATTGGGTAGTCACCCAAACCATTGAAAAGTTCTGCATGAAATTCAAAAAGGGTATAGGACCAGTTTTGAAAATGGATTTCAAGAAAATGACTCAAGCACTCACAATAGCATTTAGAAACTCACAGAAAATGAATATTCAAGGTCTCTCAGTTCAACACTTACTCACAGAGTTCTTTAGACGTGACTTGGAAGTTTCCATTCAACACTTTATGGATTTAAAGGCTTCACATCTTACCGAACTAGTGACCAATGAAAGTTGGAAAGGATTCAATTATGCTTGGGATTCACACTCACCAAATTTAACAACATCAAGCTCTGCTAACAATAGTAGCCTTGTATTTATAACAGATAGTGGTAAATATCTCTACAAGTTTGCTAATGAATATGTAGAGTATTTAAAGCCAGTTGCTAATGTTTTCCTTTATCAAGCAGCAGTCAATCCTGTCAAAGATATGCTGGAAGAATACATTTTGGATATTTTCAAGATGGCTAATACTCACTTGAGTGATCAACAATTCTGTTGCATGATTTGTAACCTCAGCAGTGTTAGATACCATCTACTTCCAAAGTTTTTCGAAAAGATGAAACAATTATTTGGTATTGAAATGGTTCAATTCTCTCTTTTCTTGAAGAGTACACACGATATTAACCAAAAGATTATTGAGAGATTTTGTGATAATCGTATTGCCATTATAATGGACCAAATGAAATTGGGAGAACCAAAGAATTATCCTCTTCATACTCTCTACTCTCCTAGCACAACTGCGGAAGGTCTCTCAAGCACAGATCTTGGAAAGTTGGTTGTTTCTTCATCTGTCACAAAGTTTGTATCATATGTGAAAAAGTCACAATCCATGTTTGAAAGTTTCCCTCAACTTCAAAAACAACCTATTGCAGCTAAACTTTTGGAACTTTACTTCAAGCACATGTTGGAAATTCCATTCTTTTGGAATCTTCTGGAAAATAAGAAAATTGATCCTGAATTGAAGGTAAATCCCATTAATGTTTTACAACTCAATTCCATGATATTGGATTTGGTTTTCATTGAGATTGTATGCAATCCAATCATGGATGAAAATTTGAGAAAAGGATGTGAAACTCTCAAAACCAAGATGGTTTCCAAATATTGTGCTCTAAATGGTATAGAAAGCTCTGCAGTTCTCAAAGAAGATTCATACTTTGCTCTCATTGTTAAAAAGCTGTCCCAGGAGAATGATTCTGTTGCTCAATTAATCAAATTCTTTAAAGATTTTTATGAAGGCAAGGATACCTCATCACCATATTCCAATAACTCGAGTCCTTCCATTTCTTCTAGAACTACCGAAAGACCAAGCAGTTCTGCCAATACAAGAAACAACAACAATACGGTCACTAGTACTAGCACTATCTCATCAAGAAGTAACAATAATACCAATAATAACAGCACTGCCTCTAGTACTGCTTCCTCTTCAAACACGGCTACAAGCTCCAGTCCGACCACAAGTTCAACTACCACAGCAACTAGAACAAGAACAAGACGTTTCTAATTTGATTTCAATCATTGGTTTCATTATTTTCATTTGGTAAAGATACACTAACTTTTACAATTCCAAACATCTTCTCGTAACTACTTGCTAAATTTTTCCACTTTTCAACTTCCTGTTGTAATTTCTTATTCCTTGAACTTGATGTTGCCAATTGTTTCCTCAATTCAATAATCTTAGTGTTTGGGGAGGTATCTGTTGGAGGGCTTTTAGGAGAGGAATACCTGGAAGGTGTGACACTTTTAGGACTTTTAGCATTCATGTTTGGAGACCTATGCTCTTTCTTTCCTGACTCATCAAAATCCCTTAAAATTGTCTGTGCCTCTTCCTCAGTCTTTGCATTCCTCAAAAGAGCAAATATAGTCTTGTATTGTAAAATTTCCTTATCTTTTCGTAAACTATCATCAATTAACCTGCTTACTGCCTTCTTGTGCCTAACACAGGAATTTACATCATTTAGTATTTTCCTAGTTTGTTCCTTTTCCAAATCTTGTTTCAACCCCTCAATTAAAGCCTGTTGTTCCTCATTTCTTCCCAATAATTCCTTCACGTATACCAGCAATTCACTAGCTTCCTTTTCAAAATTTCTCTGTTGATTATTTTCTTGTAATTCTTGTTGAATTGTATTCTCATCCCTAGAAAGTTCTAAGGAAACATTAATTTCATACTCTGAATTATTTGTATTATTTGTCTCCGAAAGCATTTCTTCCTGTTTACTAGCCATTTGATTGTTATATTCTTTTTCAATCATGGGAAGATCGATCGACACAAACGAAAAATCCATTCCGTCTTATTTAAAGTATTAGGTATCCTAATTGGTTGTTTTTTTTATTAATTTTAATATTTTTTTGGCGCCATAATTGTACAATGTTCTTTCACTTTTTTAAAAGGAAAATATCCACACAACAACAAACTTGAATCTACTTGTTACTCTTAATAATAGTTTTTCTTGTTAACAAATACATATGATATCAAGAATTTCACTCTCCTGTTGAGGCCAAAATTCAAGTAAGAAGAGAAAATTCATTTTTAAATTTTCAAAAAATTAAAAAAATGCTCTCACTTTCAAAATCGGCTTCTTTGGTGAAGAAGGTTTCATCATGTTCGGCCATAAATTCATCATCAATAATAACTACTAGAAATTACGCAATTCCAAAGAACCCAACACCTCAAGAACTTTCATATTTAATAGAATCCGCAAAGGACTATATTCGTCCAGTGGATAAACCTAGAATTCCTAAAACACCACAACAATTTAAAAAGGACGAAATGTTGGCCAATTCTTGGTCTTTATTAAAGAAGAGAATCACAGAAAAAGCCCGTAATGATGCCAAGAGAAGACTTAAATTAAAAAAGTCTGCTTTGGAAGCTCTTCCAAAGGAATTAAGAGTTGAAGCCGAAAAGATTGATTGGAATCTTATACCAATACAAGTTGGTGTTCAACCATTCAAAGATTTACCTGCTCAACCTGGATACAAACCACCAGAAGAACCACTCAACATTGAAGTTTAAACATTTGACATTTCCGATTCATCAATTAAAAACAAAATTTGGATTAAATTTATTTTTGATTTTGCATACCAGCTTGGAATCGTTCCGTAACACGCATATTGTGTTTAATATATTTAACTCCACATTTTGTGATACAAGCCTTTTCAACATCATCTAACTTGTCTCCTTTTGGTTCTTCAACACATTTATCAACACAGTGTCTAACCATTTCATTGAAAAGTTCCATAGCTTCCTTTAATTGTAATTCTTGCATCATTTGTTGTTGTTGTTGTCTTTGATAATTTTGCATCATTTGTTGTTGTTGCATTTGATTGAATTGTTGAGGATTATATTGATTGTTCATTTTGATAGAGGAAAATGTGTGATGAAAGTTGTTGTTGGTCTATTTTTTTAATTTAATTTTTATTTTTAAAAAATTCTCTAAATTGATTGAAAGCCTTCATCAAGCAATTAGATTTTGATAACCACCTTGAGTATGATGACTCAAATCTTAAATTGAGTCAAATTCATATGATGATGATAGTTTTATTATCTTGTTCTTGCTAGTAAAATGTTTGGATGATAATGAAGATGATCCATAGGATTTTACAGTAATACAAAATTATCATGATGACAAGATTGTGCCTTGTAGGCTCATATTCACTTGTAATTTTGTACAATACTTCATAAAAGTACAAGTGGATAGACTAGACTCGGATAACACTAAAAAATAGTAAATGTATTAATTAATCAAAACTAGGATATGGAAATTACTCTTATTAGCTTTTCACTTAATTAATTTAAGTTGATAATTTTATATTGTGAAGAAATTAAAACAATTAAAAAACAACAAAACATTGGAAATGGTAGAAATCAAGAATCCATCTTCATCTACAACTATTACTCCTAAAATTGCTGATACTGTTCAAGAGGTAAAGGAAAACATCCAAGAGAATATTGTTAATGTCACAGTTGACAATAAGGCAATTGATCAAACCATTGAAGGATTAAAGTCTCTTACCAAGGGTGAAATTCCTTCTAATGAACAACTTTTGAGTGGTGTTGAACAGGTGAAAGATATTGTTGACAAATCATCACAATATGTCACATCAAGTCAAAATATTCAAGAACGTGCTATTCACCTGTTAGACATTGTTAAACAATTAATTGAAGAGAAGAATAAGGATCAGGTATTGCAACAATTCATTTACAATACCAACATGTTCATTGACAAGTACTCTGATAAAGTTGTACATGTAGTTAAGGATACCACAAGTGATGTGAATGACCAACTCAATCAAGAAACCAAGTCTTTCTATGAATCAGTTCAGAACTTTTCCAATTTTATTTTTGAACTGTTTAGATCCAACTCATTTAGACTTTTAATGGTTGATACATTGAACTATTTGAGAGTATTGTCAAATAAGAGCCTCACTAACATTCATGTACAAGCTAACGAAGGTCTCAAGAGCTGCCATTCAAAGAATTGTCAATAATCTTGATGATGATGATGATGAGTTGAAAGAGAAGGTTAAGGATCAAATGGATGTTACTGAAGATACTCCAAAGAATAAGAGTGATTGGGAAAAGCCATTCTTAGAATCATCCAGTGTTGAATCTTCTTCCAAGAAGCAAAAGACTAAGGTTGTTGCTGCATCAGTAGAACCTACCAAGTCAGATGTCAAATCTGCTGAATTAAAGCAAGAAAAGTTAGAAGACCAAATTTATGATAGATTTAGTGAACTTATCAAGGAATTCTCTTCAAATAGATCTTACAGAAAGGCAGTTTTGGGATTCTCCAACATGTTCGATCAACTCAAGTTCATTTTCAATGATAACATTGAGAGTAACGTTAACGATTTGGTTAAGGAAATGCAAAATGACAAGTACTTTATCAATATGAAAGAGAATGGTGAAAAGTTGTTAATCCAATGGGTTGGTAATGAAAAGATCATCAAGGATATGGAACAATCATTGCAAGATATCTATAAGGCATTCAGCAATGACAAGGAGCTTTCCAAATTGTTAGATCAAGTTGAGAAGGACACTCGTAGATACT